GCGAGGTCCGTTTTGGAGGATTTGGGCTGCTGAGCGGCCAAAACGGACCACCAGAGGGAGAGCGCTCAGCAGACAAAACCAGGGAGAGACAGGGACAGACACCTTCGACTTTTTCACCGGTCTCACTGGACACAGAGGTTGTACCTGTGCCTGCTCTCTCTTTTCCTGGCTGTCGGCTTGTGGCGGTTGCTTTCTGTGAGATCCTGTCTGGATACACCGCTTTTCAGCCAACATTTATAAAACATTTCCTGTATGGCAGGCATGTCTAGCTCAGTCGGCAGAGGGCAAGGCCCTTAACCTGAAGATTGAAGGTTCGACCCCGCCCTGCACCCGCAGCCAGCGGAGGAATTGGGGGCGTCCGTTTTGAAGGATTTTGGCTGCTGAGCGGCCAAAACGGACGACCAGAGGGAGAGCAAGGAGCACAGCCAAGCAGACCAAGCTGGCGAGGTCCGTTTTGGAGGATTTGGGCTGCTGAGCGGCCAAAACGGACCACCAGAGGGAGAGCAAGGAGGACAGCAGCCAAGCGACCAGCTGGCGAGGTCCGTGTTTGGAGGATTTTTGCTGCTGAGCGGCCAAAAACCGGACGCAGAGGGATAGCAAGGAGCACAGCCAATCAGGGGGACGAAGCGTGGCGATGTCCGTTTGGGAGGATATTGAGGCTGCTCAGGGCGTGACAAACGGAGTCACGCAGGCAGGCAGAGAGAGACAGAGGCCGATGAGGTTGGAAGAGCAGGGGAAGTCCGTTTTGACGGATTTGGGCTTCTGAGCGGCCAAAACGGACCACCGACCAAGGTGGCGAGGTCCGTTTTGGAGGATTTGGGCTGCTGAGCGGCCAAAACGGACCACCAGAGGGAGAGCAAGGAGGACAGCCAAGCTGACCAAGCTGGCGAGGTCCGTTTTGGAGGATTTGGGCTGCTGAGCGGCCAAAACGGACCACCAGGGAGAGCAAGGAGCACAGCCAAGCAGACGCAGCTGGCAATGTCCGTTTTGGAGGATTTGGGCTGCTGAGCGGCCAAAACGGACCACCAGAGGGAGAGCGCTCAGCAGACAAAACCAGGGAGAGACAGGGACAGACACCTTCGACTTTTTCACCGGCCTCACTGGACACAGAGGTTGTACCTGTGCCTGCTCTCTCTTTTCCTGGCTGTCGGCTTGTGGCGGTTGCTTTCTGTGAGATCCTGTCTGGATACACCGCTTTTCAGCCAACATTTATAAAACATTTCCTGTATGGCAGGCATGTCTAGCTCAGTCGGCAGCGGGCAAGGCCCTTAACCTGAAGATTGAAGGTTCGACCCCGCCCTGCACCCGCAGCCAGCGGAGGAATTGGGGACGTCCGTTTTGAAGGATTTGGGCTGCTGAGCGGCCAAAACGGACGACCAGAGGGAGAGCAAGGAGCACAGCCAAGCAGACCAAGCTGGCGAGGTCCGTTTTGGAGGATTTGGGCTGCTGAGCGGCCAAAACGGACCACTAGAGGGAGAGCAAGGAGCACAGCCAAGCAGACCAAGCTGGCAAGGTCCGTTTTGGAGGATTTGGGCTGCTGAGCGGCCAAAACGGACCAGAGGGAGAGCAAGGAGCACAGCCAAGCAGACGAAGCTGGCGATGTCCGTTTTGGAGGATTTGGGCCGCTCAGCGGACAAAACGGAGCACCAGGCAGAGAGAGACAGAGGCCGATGAGGTTGGAAGAGCAGGGGAAGTCCGTTTTGACGGATTTGGGCTTCTGAGCGGCCAAAACGGACCACCGACCAAGGTGGCGAGGTCCGTTTTGGAGGATTTGGGCTGCTGAGCGGCCAAAACGGACCACCAGAGGGAGAGCAAGGAGGACAGCCAAGCTGACCAAGCTGGCGAGGTCCGTTTTGGAGGATTTGGGCTGCTGAGCGGCCAAAACGGACCACCAGAGGGAGAGCAAGGAGCACAGCCAAGCAGACGCAGCTGGCAATGTCCGTTTTGGAGGATTTGGGCTGCTGAGCGCCCAAAACGGACCACCAGGGAGAGAGAGGGACAGAGACACCGCCAGCTCTCGTGTGATGAGGTTGCCGTGCCTGTGTGCGCACAGGAACATGGACGTTATCATCCCACCCCACCCCACCCCACCCCACCCCCTCCCAGTGGAAGAGCTGGGTAGGTCCGTTTTGAAGGATTCGGGCTGCTGAGCGCCCAAAACGGACCAGCAGAGGGAGGGCAAGGGGCGCAGCCAAGCAGACCAAGGTGGCGAGGTCCGTTTTGGAGGATTTGGGCTGCTGAGCGGCCAAAACGGACCACCAGGGAGAGAGAGGGACAGAGACACCGCCAGCTCTCGTGTGATGAGGTTGCCGTGCCTGTGTGCGCACAGGAACATGGACGTTATCATCCCACCCCACCCCACCTCCCACCCCACCACCCCACCCCACCCACCCTAAAACCAGATGGTGTCGCAGATGAGGGGAAAATGGTGTCGCAGATGAGGGAAAATCAGGGGGGTTTTGGTGTCACAGATGAGGGGGATTTGGTGTCACAGATGAGGGGCTTACCTTTCAGGCCATTGCTTGCTGTGCCATGGCCTGTTGCTCAGCCCAGGCTTGCTGCTTTTGTTGTTCATACTGGTGATGTCTCACAGCGTCCTGGAGCCTCTGGTCCAGGGTGTCGTAGTCCAGCTCCTCCTTGACTTCAGGTTCGTAGTCCGGCTCCTCCTTGATTTCATATTGGTCTGTGTTGTCTTCCTCCTGTTTGACTGGTCTTGCTGTGAACTTTGGAGTTGGTCGCACAAACATGACCCTTGTTTTTTTCCAGGGGGGGCTTTCCTCGGACTCTTCATTGCCATGAGGCTGCACATCCGCGTAAGGGCTTCCACCCTCATCTTGCAAGCTCGTCTCTGGACCAGCTTCTTGCAGACCCTTCTCCATTTCATCTTCTGTTGGGGTCTCCATTTCATCCAGGATGGTCTTCTCACTTGGTGGCTGTTTCTTTTTGACTGGCTGGGGCAAAGGCTTTTTTTGTTTCCCCAGCTTCTCGCATAGAAAAAGACGGAGGTTTTCATCTGTCAAGGTTTGGCGATCCTCATCATCGGGCTGCTCGCTCTCTGCAAAAGCTGATGCCGACTCCTGCTGAGCCAGCGCCAGGTCCCATGCTGCGTAGTATTCCATGGCAGGCTCACAGGGTGCAGGTCTTCTTGAAAAAAGGGAATATATATGGGAAATTGCGTATATTGATTGAAAGACAGCGTTTGTTTTTTTAAAGTCAGTGGTGAGCAATTTCTAATTTCTGCATATGTGGCAAGGTGTGCACAGCATTGAGAGGAGCAGCCAGTTTGATTCCTATATGGATCCGGCAGGTAAAGACATATATATGGAGTGCAAACATACACATTCAGTGAGACGGTAATGACCGTGGACAAACTGAATCAAAGATGGGATAGGTGGGCATCACTTTGCATTCTTACTGTATTTCATGTAGCTCCAGAGGACATTGCAGGACACTTGTGTCAAAATGTTGAAAGATGCAATTTGTATCCTGGTTTGATATCTATTTATGATTTTGTATTGTTTTTTGGGTTCTCACTTCTGGTCAGGTGTTCAATTTGTTTCCCATCACGCAGGGGTAAATGGACATTGAGGAGTATATGAAAGATTGAGCTATATACATGTAGGTACCCCCCTTAAATAGCATATCATGCACTAAAGGCCCAACATGTGTATAGCCACTACATGGCCCAACCTACGATCCAATCAAAACAAGTGCAACATCATTACAGTGGCTTTGGTATTTACATATATATATAAATGGTATATGCACGGTATACACTGGTATACGCGCGGTATACGCTGGTATACGCTGGTATACGCTGGTATGCGCTGGTATACGCGTGGTATACGCGCGGTATACGCGTGGTATACGCTAGGCTTTTCTGGTATACGCGTGGTATACGCGCGGTATACGCGTGGTATACGCGTGGTATTTGCGTGGTATACGCGTGGTATACGCGTGGTATACGCTGGTATACGCTGGTATACGCTCATGACCCCCCAGCCCCAAAACGGTGAGAACCGCCAGCGGTGATGACCGCCTGCGGTAAAGACCTCCAGCGGTGATGACCGCCTGCGGTGACGACCGCCAGCGGTGATGACCGCTTCCTACATAGCGCTTCTTTTTTCCATCCATGATCTCAAGCTGTCTCTTGCCTTTAAAATGGAGGGTGGTTCCCCAGCAAAAACTGAGATTGATTTCAACAATCTCTATGGCAACACAGCCATTCACTTCTTCTTGTAGAAGTTCTTCTTCTGCTTCTTCGTGCGCTTTGCCGTCTTGCTCTTGTCCTTGCCTTTTTTCTTCTCTGTTGCATCATCTTCTGGCCCTTTCTCCTTTTCCATGGAGCTCCCTGCAGCTTTGTTTTCAGTCTCGCCCTGCTCTGACTCAGACTCCGAGCTGCTTTGTTGGGCCTCACGATCCTTCTCAGCAAGCTTCTGCTGGCAAATGCTCATCAGCATCAAAGTCATTGGGTCAATGCGGGTGTTGGCCATGTCCTCCCCCAACAACAGCGACCCATCGGACATGACACAAAAGCCAGATGGTGGGGCTTCCATGGTGCCAGGAGTCAGGAAGCAGTGGAACTTCTAACAGGGGGATACTCGGGCCTTCCAAAACACTACAACGACACACAAATTCAAAACTGTGGAAGGTTCTCCTGTAAAGACACCAGCCTTTGCGTGGGAACTGTTTCATGTATGCATGACACAAACATGACACGGTAATGACCGCACAGAGTCAAGTGAACGGCATCAGTTTTGTTTTTTCTCGCTTTCATTGCCAAACATAGCTTCGACAAATGCATACTGCATTGCAAATTGCAGATCGATCCAAGTGCGACACTCAGCCCTGCAGCCAAACCAGAAGATCAAACATGTTTTATGCTTAACTTGTTCTGGAAAGTTTGGCCCTTCTATGAATTCACTGGCTCCAGATCTGAATGGAACAGAAGTAAATTAAAAGAGTTTTCATGTAAAACTCCTGGCCTCCTTGTTTAAACTTCAGCTCACGTCCTCAGCCTTGTCAGCACGCTTCTGGATTTCCTTTCTCTTCTCAGAAGCACTTTCTGCCATGGACTTGATCAGCTCCTCATCGAATCCTCCATTCATCATGCTCTCCACTGAGTCAATGCACTTGCAACCCTTAAGCAATGATTCCTTCAAGTCTTTCGCCACTTCGAACGTGTGATCGAAAGTCAAAGCCTCCCAGGTCCTGCCCTTGTACTTCTCCTGAATCTTCTTGGCACCCTTAACGATCTCCTTGGCAGCCCAGATCTGGTCATGGAAGCTCTTGGGCGCTGCCTGTGCCTTCGAAGGCTTGTTGCACTGCTTGAGCACCGGCTCCAACATGGTCTGCACCTTCTTGCAGAGTTTGTTGACCTTGGCATTCTCCTCCTTCAGTGTCTTGAGCTCCTCCTCGGTCAAATCAGGCTTTGCAGCTTTCTTCGGGGCTGCCTTTGCTTTCCCTTTGGGACCACCCTGCACATACACGACCTTGGGTTTGTCATCGTCCGAGCTAATACTCATGTAGTCCTGCTCACATTCGTCTTCATCTTTCTCCTGATCTCCCTTCTTGCCTGTGTCCAGGGTTGGATTGTGAGATAAATATGTCACGGTAAGAACCGTGGGAGGGCTTTGCATCCAAATATACACCACAGTAAATAAATAAATAAATATTTTTATATATATATATCTGTACATAGACTTGATCGGTGATGACCGCTAACTGATATAAATTAATATATATATATATATATATATATATTATGAATATCTATGATAAGCGGTGATGACCGCTTAAATAAGGTGCTATATATATATATATATAGGCGGTGAAAACCGTTCCATCATGCATGCTGCCTGCAGACAAGTCACGTTTTCCAGGCGCAATCTTCCGCTCTGCCCTCAACAAAGTCTCCCGAACTTCTTGTTCTATGTGGGCATAGTTCACTTCAAGCACAGGGACTCGGTAGACGTAACCAAACCTTGGACAAGCAGGAACATATTCGCTGGTTTGTATATTGCTCGGGAAAAACAAGATTGTCAATCTGTTGCTAAACTATATCCAAGTAACATGTCGCTCTTCATGCGCTCTGCCTTTGCTTCGATGTGTTCTGTATTGTAGCCTTTTTTCGCATATACCGATAAGGGTAGAAATTTTCCTCTGACCTTTGTTTCCACCTGGTTGGTCTCATATTGGATTAGCTTCTTCTCCAACAATGCTCTGACCTTGCCCTTGGCGAAAGAGCCACCACAGAAAGTCTTTGCGTCCTTGAAAAACTGCGTAGTCTCTTCTTCAGACATATTCTTCAAGCTGAGCTGCTTCATGTCCCAGTTCTTATACATCTGGGTGACCAAGTTGTGACATTGCTTGCATGCCATCTGAACGTGCTTCTTTTTCTTGACTGCCCGCTGCTTTTCCGGGTTCTCTGTGTCAACCACTTCCTTGCAATGCTTGCAGTAGTGGACCTGCAAGCGTTTGAATTGCAAGTCCTGGAACGCCATTTCCTCCACAGAGGCATTGGGATTGACCTTCAACGGGACAATGTTCTTCAAGTCCTTCTCGACCTTCTGTTCCACTTCCTCCTTCTGTTCCACTTCCTCGGTGGTCTTCCTCTCCGTGCCATTAACCCCTGTGTCATGAATTTCCACGGTATCTGCAATGGACTCAGGTGGCATGGTGTTCTGTGTCAAGTCCATGGAGTCTCCAAAGAGACCCTGTTGGTTGTCTGGCTGTTCCTCAACCATTTCAGCCATGGGCTTTATAAAGGGAACCACACAGGTTCAGGGCCAGATGCTTCAGCCATTTATACCTTTTGAATGCCATGAGGCTCATGAACGGTGATTACCGTGCAATAGAACAGAAAGAAAAAATGTATACACATTGATATTTGTTTTCTGTTGACTTGAAATGATGCGCGGTGATGACCGGCGTTCCCACTTTCACCAGGGATGTCGTGAACGGTGAAGACCGTGTTGGGAAACTTGCCAGTCACCACCTTTTTTGCTAAGTCGCTTGCTCTCGATTGTGTCTAAAACACATCGATGCTATGTAACGCACTGCAATTTTGCAATGATCCATATCAGAAAGCAAAATAATCATTTGCGACCATGTTCCTGGATCCATTCTTCTGCGGCCTTCTGGTGAGCCAACCGGGCATAGTGTTTGGCTTCGTCCTTTTTCATAGTTTTCAACTTTTCCTTGAGCTCCTTGTGGTATGCCCTGCTGCACACATTCTTCCTATCCATTTTGAGAGGAGGTTTTTCTCTTTTCTTCTGCCGACAGACGTCCTTCACCTTCTTGACACCAGTCTTCTTGTCTCCAGCCTTGTTGTCTCCAGGCTTGTTGTCTCGGTTTCCAGCTGGCTTCTTTTGTTGTTTCTTGACACCAGCTGGGTTCTCCTCAGCGGGTGCTGGCTCTACTTTCTTAGACGAAACAGAAGCAAGGATAGCCTTGACATCCGTGTCCTTCTTTTGTTTTTTCTTCCTCTCAGGTGCACTCTCCGTGGGCTCATTTTTTTCTCCTCTTCTTGATCTTAACCGGTTCTGGCTCCTCTTGCTTCTGCACCGCAATCTCTTCAGGATCTTCCTTCTTTTCCGCATCCCTTTTGATGTTGTCCTTCATATAGGCTTCCTTCAAAGACTTCAAGGTATCAGCAACACTCCTGGCAGGCTTGCTCGCAGGCATAGGCTTGCTCACAGGCACAGGCTTGCTGACAGGCACAGGCATGCTCACAGCTTCAGGCGTGCTGACAGGCACAGGCATGCTCACAGGTTCAGGCATGCTGACAGGCACAAGCGCGGATAGCTCCACAGAATCCTCCACAGACAACGTTTCCTCAGGTAGAGAAAAACTCGATTCCATGGATTCCTGGGAGTCATTCTTCAAATCCTCGAGAGGTAAAAGCTTTGCAGAAGCTTGCTCACTAAACCAAGGTGTGCACGCATTTTTGGAAACATTTCCACATCTTGGGTTCACACCAACAGCTGATCTGCGTAGAGGGTAGGTGCGCACAGTCTCCTCCAACTTTGCACAAGGAATCAATGGCTTCCTTGGCGGGCCACACTTTGGAAAACCAAGAAGACACACCACTTTTTACATATGTATATATAATTCCATAGCAGTCATATATGGCACTCTTTTGGAAACCAAGGAGACAGCATAATATGAACATAACATGTATGGATGTATATAACTGTATAATTAAGTTGTATCGTATATAGCACCCCCACTCAAAGCACTCTTTGCCAACCAGAATCTCTTCCGTGTAGACCATTGCATGCGAGGCTGGTAGGTCCGCAGGAACAGGCGGCAACTGGTCCATGGGATCTTTCAGCTGCTTCATAGATGTGTACTCCTTCAGCACCGCTCTGGTCAAAGGCTTATCAGCCTGCAACGTTTGATACTTCTCCATCGATGATGGCATTCCATCATTCCATTCTTTCCAATGCATGAGGCAGATCATCGTCCCCAAATTTCTTTCAGGCGGGCTCCGCAAACCAAGGGCTGAAGCGAGGCGGCACAAAGCATGGCATCTGCTGCAGAGGTCTGGTGCTTGCAGCTCCTTCCACACTTTTTTGGTGAGGTAGCGATGAAGACTTCCATAGTCTTGGCCCTCGCCAGAAGGCCCTCTGATAGGTTTGACCAGTTTGTCTGGAATCACCTCCAAGCATTGCTTGGCCAGAAGCTCCAAGAGTGCTTCGACATGTTTTTTTTGGAAATGCTTCAATTTCCCCACCACTTCTGCAACCTTTGCTGACTGCTCTTCATTGCAGCTCATGTTGCTCACCAAGGTCTGCAATTTCTCAAACTGCATCTTTTCGATGTTCGAAAACGAAGGCAAGGTCATGACATTACTTAAAAATTTATCAGAGGCATTGGCTTGCCTTGTGAAGTCCGCTGCCCGAACTGTGTTTCTTTTCACAGGCATACCCTTAAGGTTCTCGTTGGATCCTCGAAAACTTGCAGAACATGAGAGACCATGCGCACTTCTCACAACCATACAACCGGAGAAAATGTCTTCTTGTGATCCCATGCAGTCCATGTGTGTAGACATAGACGTGAAACCAACTGTAAAATACAGTGATAACATGTAAACGGTGATGACCGTTGTAAACAGTGATAGCCGATGTAAACGGTAATGACCGCAGTAATCGGTGAAAACCGGTGTGAACTGTAAAGACAATGTTTTTTTGAACAACCCTTCCAATGCCGCCAAGTAATCGCTCCAAGCTACGGATTTGCAAGTCCATCCGTGGTAAGTTCACAAACCACAGAAAGCTAAATATGAATTAGCTGCGTTTACATGGATGGAAACTACAAGGAGTGACTGTATATGAAACGTGGCATTTTTTGTTTCCCACTTTTCAGTATTGCTGAGTCTTGACTTTATACCTCGAATCGAATGATTTTTGCAGCCCAGGCAACCGTTGCATTTCTTCAGGAAGATTTGGGAGTTGAGTGATGAAAGCTACAAAGAGGTTTGGGAAACTGTTGTGGAGATGTGCGCTGATGAGCGTGTCTTAAAGAGGACATGTTGTATGCCTCTGGCATGCTCTGTCCTCACAATGCCACTCATTTGAAAAAGGTTTGAAAAAGTTGCCAAACTCTACATGCTACTGTTGTGGACGTTTACAAAATAGATAAAATTGTCAATAGGATCCAAGTTTCCTTTCAATCGGAAGTGAAAGATCGTCCCAGTTACTTGGGACATGGCTCATGGACCGATGCAGCGAGGTTTTTGAACTAAACATTGAACTAATATCAACGATGATAACCGATGAGAGATGATAACCTCACTTGGAACATGATAGAAAAGTTTCGCCGGTGAAAATCGCAGGTCATGTTAAGATAAAGTATGTTTTTTTGCTATATGTCACCACGTTTTTCAACATACTTAGCTTCTACGAAAAATTAAAGAAAAACCCTGGTTTTGTAAGTTTTCCTAAGTCCGAGCTAAGTACTTTTTTTTACTTACATAACTTTTGTAACTAGTACTTATAAGGAGATATAAGTAAAAACCTGACACCTTAGCAGGATCCTGCCCGACGGGGCGAGGGCTTCGTGCGTGGGGGGCTTGAGTGCATCTGCAAGCGATGTCTCAGCCGTATGCCACGGGGGCTCTACCTGAGTCTGGCGGAGCACTGCGGCTGGTCCTCCTGAGTCCTGAGTAGCTGCGGGCCCGTACTCTAACTAATTTGTGTGTGCCAAAAAGGGCGCGAGCTGCCGGCAGTTTCACCCTGTTTTCATGTCAGTGTGGTTTGTTTTGTCACGCCTAATAGGCCCTCAGGCTGTAATTGGTGGACAGGCAACCCCCTGTCGGTCTCCAGAAGGCGCAGCCGTCGGTTGTGCCTGTGCAAACTCTATGCTTTGGAGTTTTGGACCCAAGCTAGTAGTGTGCCAGCCCACCAGCGCGCGCCATGAGCCGAGTCGATGTGCTGGCGGATGACCGCGGCCTCCAGGGATGCTTCAAGGTGGCAAACATCCAGCAAGAATGGGCGCAGGACTTCATCACCAAGCACAAGTTGGTCACCCTGGACGACTATATCTACTCGGTTGCCAATGATACATGGGAAAAGGGTGTGGAAACCTTGGTGTCCCAGGTTCCCACCCTCCGGGACAACATGATCGCGCTAGCGCGGTTTCGTAGCGCTTTTGACATTGGCCGAGAAGCCTTGCGCCAGGCTGCAGCGCCAGCAACGAAGAGTGCCGATTTGGACGAGCCTCTGCCAGAGGCGACTATGAAGTCTCTCAACCAGGATTGGGCTCGCCGGTACAATTTGCAGCTGGATCCGTCGTTGGAGCCCTGTGAGGCCCTCCGGTCCAGGCTCTACCGAGAGTTTCGGAAAGGCCAGCTCACGGTCATTGAGGCTCGCAAAGTCAAGAGCGTCATCACAGTGGCCCAGCCCAAGACACAAGGGTCGGTTACTCTGGGAGACAACCTCCACTTGGAATTTGAGAAGGAGGAGGGTATCCCGATCAAGAGCTGTGTGGAATATTACCTGCAGATGCGGGTGCTTGCTCATGCTTTGGCATGGGCGGGCAACTACCAGGTGGATTATGAAGGTGGGCGCCACTGGATGATGGACCTTTCCACCGTGCTGGGCTATGTGGATGTCGCCTTGCGTAGTTCTATCGAATTCGCAGGTGGGTCCATGTTGTGGCTGCAACGAAACGACGTGTTGACACGGGGCAAGCTGGCGACCTATGTCAACAGAGGCATGCCAGGTTCTGTGGCCATGAAACAGGCCTTGCACGAGACGCACTTCGAGTGGCGGTCTCCCTTGGCTGCCCCGCTGGTGGTGTCCTCTGGGTCTGGGTCCCCAGGGACCACCAAGCGGAAGCAAGAAAGCAGCCCTCTGCCTGTGGGTGAGGCACCGACCAAGCGGCCGCGCACCTTGAAGGCAGATCGGTGGGCCACAGTGAGCATGATCAAGGGCGGTAAGCGATTGTGCAAGCCGTACAACGACGGCAGGGGGTGCAGCAACTCGCAGTGTGATCAGATGCATGCCTGCGATGTGAAACTGCCCAACGGAAAGCCTTGCTTGAGTCGGGCCCACACCAGGGTCCAGCATGAGGAATGACTCCTTCCCCCCGGGAGGTGTGCTACCCCCGGGGACCCATGTCTGGAGATAGCTGCTGCGCTGCCTGCCACGCCTGTTGGACGGGTGGTCTCACTCAGGGACCCCCTGGTGGACCCCCTCCAGCGACCAGTTGACAGAGCGAGTGCTGACCGCCTCCGGGCGGCGAAGCCAGTGGCATGGCGAGGTTTGGGGGATCTGCCCCAGTTCGCGTGGGCCAAGCCGCTTGTGGGGTCATGGTTGGTGATCGACCTTTGGGCTGGCTTCAGTGGGCTGTGTGTGGCCCTCCTTGCGATGGGGGTGCGTTTTCACGCAGTGGCTGCGGAAAACGACATTTTCCCGGCCCAGGTGGCGGAACAGATCATGCCGCAGGTGGTTACTGTTGACGCGGTGGAAACTGTGACAGGGACCATGTTCCGTCCTTTTCTGCAACGTCGGCAAGTCAGAGGAATTATTTTAGGCGGAGGTTCCCCCTGCCAGGGCAACTCTATTTTGAACACTGGCCGAAAAGGGTTGGCTGATACCCGAAGTCAACAACCTCAAGAGTTGGTACGTATCCGCCAGGAGCTGCAAGACCTCCCAGAATGTGCGACCCTGGAGATTGTCACGTTTTCGGAAAACGTGGCCTCTATGCCCCGCGAAGTCATGGACCAGTATACAGCATGGATGGGCTTCCCACCTATCCTCATCGATGCGGGCGCTTGCGGATGGGTGCAACGGGCGCTTGCGGATGGGTGCAACGGCCCCGGCTGCTGTGGTTAGGCCAGGGTCGCTGCGGGGTGTCTCCTCGTTGCACCCCCCCGACGGCTGGGTATGGGTCGAGTCTGGGACCGATCCCCCCGAGCTGCGCTGGAAGGGACCCAAGCCAATCCCTTTTTGATGCTGCGGAAGTAGTTAAGGCTGCGGGACAAGGGGCTATGCATCCGTTCACCAGGGAGTTTTGGCACCCCTGTGATCGGGTCAAGCTGGTTCCGCCAGAGGCGGCTGCTAGATTCTATCAAGATGAGAGGCGGTTTCCCCCCTTGGCCTACACAGCAGAGAGTTTGCTTTGGCGCAAGGATGAGTGGCGTCAGCCGGGGCCTGAGGAGCGTGCCCAGATGATGGGGTTTCCTGCGCAGTGCCTTCAGGCCGTTCAGGGACCAGCGGCGGTGCGTCGCCAACGCCAAAACAGTATGCTTGGCAACGGTTTCCACCTGCCGATGATTGTGGCACTTTTCTGCCTGCTTCCAGGTGTGTTGAGTATGCAGGTACCGCGACCGTTGTTTGACCTCGCGGAGCGCAAAATGCAGGAGCGTTTGGCGGGTACGGTATGGGAACCAGGCCGCTTGCAGGTGTTCCCTGGTTTGCTTTCCAGTGACCAGGTGGTGCAATCCATGCAGCGGACAGTCTTCGGATCCTTGCCAATCTCTGCAAATGTGTGGCAGTTGACAGCTACCCGGTTGGCTCCCTTGCCAGTGTGGCAACTGCAAGCCTATACTGCCTGGGCAGTCGGCCGAGGCGCATCATGTGATCAATTAGGGCCCACCCCGCTGACAACGAGCCATCGGACAGCTCTGTTTGCAGGACTCACCGGGCAGCGCTACCCGGGCAATTCCCGGAAGGGCCTGGACCATTTGCGCAAGGAGGAGCATATCAAACAGGCTGTGGGCCTGCCATCGCCCTTTCGCCTTCGCGAGTGGCCTGAGCAAGATGTGGATTTCGTTCTCCACGCCATTGCAACATGGCAGCAGGCACTGATCGGGTACTCTGAGCAATGCCGCCAGGTATTTCGACAGGTCTGCACAGCGCTGCTGCCATTGGATGATGAGTTGCGCAAATTCAGGGTGCACAGTGCAGTGAAAGTGGCCGCTGGGAAAAGGCCTGCCGTTTTGGCGTTTTTGACTGTGATCCTGCGATGGCCCGACTTGCAGCAACCTTTGCAGATGTTGCAGGGCTATCCTATTGTCGGGGCACTGGAGCCTAGTGGAGTCTTCCGATCCATTACTGCTCGTGAAGCTTTGCCAAAAGAGGAGTGGTTGGGGGATGCAGCTGTGGCAGCTGTGGAGAGGATTGAGAGCTCTCGCCCTCCGCGGTTTGCCGAGCGCATCTATGCTGCCACAGTTCTTGAGCAACAAAAGCAATTTTGTTCGCCTTTCCTTACCAAGCGTTGCATGGATGAGCGTTTTGGCGTAGGACAGTGGCGACCGCTGCAACGTTTCTTGATTGTGCAGCCGGATGGGAAGGAAAGAGTCATTGACAATGCACGCAAGACTCTCCACAATAGTTCAACGGCGATGATGGAAACGATTTACACAGTGCACTTGGACTTCATCCCGGCCGTTATCAAGCAACTGGCGCACCGGCTTCAGGTGACTAGCCCAGGGGATTGGAGTGTCTTCCACCCCTGGGCGCATTTTCGCCTGGGAACGGATGATCTGCCGGATGCATATCGTGGTCTGCCCGTGTGCCCAGAACATTTGCCATACTCTGCTGTGGCAGTCTGGGTACCCCAGCAGGGATGGCGTTACACTATTTTGTGGGGACTGGCCTTTGGACTCGAAAGTGCTGTAGTCTCTTTCAACCGGCTGCCTCAGCTGGGAATTGCCGCTACCAGAAGATGCCTCTATGGTCTTGCAGCAGCTTATTTTGATGACGAGCTGGCCGTTGAAGTGGTGGCAGCAGCCGATATTTCACAACAAGCCTTGCGGCTCTTGTTTACTAGTATTGGTGCTCCGCCCCAGAAAGCCAAGGGATTTGCGCCTTCACCAGATCGCCACTACCTGGGAGCCGCGATTCACTTGGGCTCTGTGATGACAACGGGTTGTGTCCGTATCCAGCCAAAATTCGCGACGGTGGCCAAAGTTGCTGGTCGTCTCCGAGTGGCCATTGCCAACCGTTGTCTTACCAAAGAGGAAGCTGGCAAGCTCCGGGGCGACATCACTTGGATGTTTTCTTTGGCGGCGGGTCACATGGGCCGTATCGCCCAGCCTGTCCTGGCCAAGTGCAGCAGTGATGGCCCGACGCCAATGGATGATGAAGATGTTGTTACCTTGCAGGTGCTGCTGCGCATTGTCCTGGACTGTCAGCCTCGCGACGTCCAGGTGTGCGGTATGGATAAGGTGCCTTTGGTTATCTACTCCGATGCCTCTTTTGAGCAAGGAGTCCTACGCCTGGGGTGGGTAGTGATGTGTCCGGGTACCTCCTACCAACCTCAAGGGGGGACCTGTGAGGTGCCACCAGAGGTCATAGATAGCTGGGTGCCTCGTCGCCAGCAGATTTACCCAGGCGAGGCCATTGTGGCCCTGGTCATTCCGGCTCTCTTGCCTGACCTACTACGAGGCCAGGATCTCCTGTGGTTCGTCGACAATGAGAGCGCGACCAGCACTTTGATCCGCTGTGTCTCATCTCAGTGTGATGTCCACGAGATAGCACAGTTCTCGCACTATCTGCTGAACAGTTTGGACGCCCGGGCGTGGTTTGAATGGATTGACTCCGAGTCTAATCCTAGTGATGGGCTGAGCAGATTAGGATTAGCAGATGAGTGGACACAAGCCCAGGTCTGGTCCCTCACCTCTTACACTTTTCCTCCTGGCCTCAGCCGCGGAGAATTTCTTCAGTCCCTTCAGGTTAGCGTGCTTTAGTGAACAGTGGGTGATATGAACAGTGGGTATGTGTTTGGACTCATGGTAGTCTAACCATACATGTGTTTAGACTGTTGAGTCTAACCATTTTCCAGATGTGTGTGGTATAACCCCCCATCTGTGTTTTGACCCATTGTTATTTGATAACAATGAGGGGTTCACTACCATGCCGCTACTGGAGGGCTGGTATCTTCTCACGTGCAGCGTACCAGTTGAAGGAAAGTGAAAAGAGTGCTGCAGAAGGGTTCACACTTTCTATACATATGTTAGTATCTCGGTTTGCTGTTCATATTGGAAACTGATGGATGGGTAGGGAGGCAACAGAACATACCTTTTGATGGAATGTCACGAATCGGTTTGGAATTCCAACAATGTTCGGAAAGAAGAATGAGTCATTCTGTTGAGATAGACTTTGAATATCTAGCTCCAACTATTCAAACCCAACATATTAGATGTGCCAATGCCACCATGGCGTTCTCGCGCCCAGGGAGATGAAGAGAAGCTCCAGGCTTTGGTGGCCTGTAGCCTTCAGTTCCTGCAATCCATGAGCGACTGGGATTGAACCGGAACTGGTGGAGGCATGGCACCTGTTTACATGTGGACCACATGTAAACAGGAATTCAAATAGGAACAAGTCACAAAAAGTGTAACTGCTGAGGGCTGCACCAACAAAGCTAGAGTTGTGACCTGCCAGCTTTGGTGCTGATTATGGTATGTAAGGTCAGGAGATGCAGCTGTTGGCAAATGAGAACACCACTCTGCGCGAGAGTTTGTTGTCTTTCTCATCGAGCTTGAGCCAGGCAGGGATGAAGTTGGGACGTTGCTCTGCCTTCTTTGGAACAGCAAGGAGGGTTCATGGTTGGAATTTCAGTGAATTTCATCCACATATTTGTTCTACTAGATGTTGCACATTGTTGCACCATATATTATGTCATCCATATACTGATATATACTGGTTCATGGACAATCTTGTTCTGATGGTCCCCAGGCCAGCTCGATGGTGAGTGCCAGAGGCCATATGAAGTAATGTAGGGCTAATCCACTTGTAAGTGGGGTGATAACTGATAGCCAAATTGAATCAACTTAGTACCATCAGAATTCAATATTTATACATATATATAAATATATATATATACACACTATACACACATATAATTGCCATGTGTGGGGAGGCTACCCTGTTGGATGTAGATGGATGCCTTGCGTGTGAGTTTTGCCGGACGTGTTTACTTGATTTTCGTCGACAGTCACCATGTTTGTTATTGTTTGTTGTGCTGAGTGCACAGACCAAACCCAGTTTAGGCAGAAGCTTTATACAGGTCAACGACTTCTCCCACGGTAAAAAGCGGCAATTTTTCCAGTGACCTGAAGCCATCTAGCCATCTATAGCCATCTACTCACTGTTTCATTGTTCTATCCACCTGCAGGCAACAGAGAGTTGGAAAGCATTTTATCTTCCATCACGGCAAACGCAGAGTGTGCTGTGCCCATGGCTCAGTCGTTTTTTTCTGCAAGCCAGAGTTGTTCTTGGGGGATGATGGTGAGACGCAAAGTCCTCCGAAGCTAAACATAAGACAAAAACATGAAATGTTAAGGTACAGTATGTACAGTACATGTACTGTACAACTTAAATCAACTTGAGGTCAAGATCCCGATTTTTCTTCCGGGGTAAGTTCTCTCTTAATCCAGGATACTCCAAATCCACACTACTCCAATCGGCAGACTCGGCACTGGTTGCTAAGGCCAGCTGTTTTCAGTCGACTCTTCAATGATTCTCGTCACTGGGCTGAAGATGACCATTTCATAGGGATTCAACCAACCTGAAAAACAAATGTAATATATTATTATTATTACTATTATTATTATTATTGTAATATAATTTAGTAGATGGTCGAGATTTGAGCTGACTATTGGGGGGCGTTCGCCTGACTGAGGGCGATTGGTTGAATCTCCAGGATCATTGTTTCTGGACTTGTGAATTGTGCTATTGGTTTGGTGATGGGGGATACACCATATGTTCTCTCCGGTAAGCAATCCATTGGGTGGACTTTTTCTTGGGACACCCACCTATACTAGTAAGTTCTAACGACTATTTCCACAACTACCTTCCTTCTTCCCAGTGTCAATGTTTAAACATGCTTCAAATCTTGTGGAGAATCCCTTGTTCCAGTATAAACATCATGGGGATCAGCATCCGCCATTGCGCCAAGGTAAAGTTGACCCTCGACTGGAGCAGCAAGCGCAAGAGCGTCACCCGGATCCGTCCTTTTTGGGGCTTGGAAACGCCGTAGAGGTAGTAACCCTATATGGGGATGGAATTGGGGAATATCATATGTTTGTAATCCATGGGTCATGTTGATAGGCCATGTGTTGATGTTTGCATTATTTTGTAGGTGTTTGCTGCCGCAGGTTTCCTGAATATTTTGAATTGGATTGAAGCGTCCCATTCTTTGGTGGCTTAGCACCGACAGTGAGGTATTCTTTGCAGTGCTGCCCGTTTTGATCATCGCTGGATGTGACTGGTCCCTCTTCACAACGAAGCCGAGGTAGAGAAAGCTTGATGAAATCGCTGATCCTTCACTTGTCAGAGGAGGGACCTGCGCTTGCATGGGATTTCAAAGGCATTTTGCAAAGAAGAACAGGGCGGTAATTAGGGCGGTTGGGGCGGTATGTAATATGGCAACAATGGATAATAATGGACCGGATGCAATTTCCTCCTTTAGCTTTGCAGTTGATGCACGCCCAGTGACTCGCACAAGGACCGCTTCGACGAAGCCCCGAAACCAGAAACTCGGCTGATCATGCTTCAAAGATGTTCACAACATCATCCATTCCTAGTCAAGCCTGAAAGACGTAGCCACTGAAACGCTGCATTTGCGCATGATTTTCCTGCCGAAACTCAGAAAACCATAATTAGAACATATATATATAATTATATATATATAATATGTATATATAATATGTATAGAAACTGTGGATTTTCAACTACTGAACTCAGTTAACCTGGGGGGGAACCAACCAGTGAATATTTTGTCTGAGGTGGATCATCATGCCAGTCTGAGGCTGGTGTACTGAAGTGCTGGAAAACTGGTCACCTTGTTTAGGAAAGTTTCAATCAAAACAAATTCACCATCCAAGCCAATCAACTTAGTAGGACATGACTAGGAAATAGACATTTTGTTTGTTGAATTTATTTGGGTCAGAATCTGATGCGGAAATATCATTTCTTTGTTACTCTCGTGAAGAAAAGAATGCTAAATGGTCAGGTGCAATGTATGTCTGGTGTTGTCCAGTGATAACTTGCTTTCCTAGACAGATTTCATAGAATTGGATGATGGGAAAATTTACAGGAAAACTCTATATTTGATGGTAAAAACCATGGTTTCCTGTAGATTTTCCCTTAAACCAATCCATTGATGATTTCAAACCTTCACTGACCCTAGTAGTTTAAAGCCCAGCGGCCAGGCGCACAGGTGGCTTTGAAGACCAAGAGGAGACGCCTTTTCGGCGTGGCCGGCTGTGACACGTGGCCGGTTGATCACCAGCTGGCAACGTCTGGTCGGTTTCCCGAATTATTTCTATTCCAAGCGGGGTATGGTGAAATTAAGTCCTGATTAGTGATGCAATGTCTGTATGTTTGTGTGTGTAGGTGAAGACAAGATTGGTTACCAGCTCACATTGGTGTTTTAGTTGAATAATATGATATTCATGTCCCATAGGATCCATGGTGCTGCTATATATGGCAACATGGATCCCATCAATATACCGCATTTATGGCATATGTACCATCACCATGGATCCTATGGGTGTTTGAAGAGTTCTCACCATCCGTTCCTGAGGAGCCACCTGCTACCTCCAGGTGCGACACTGAAAACAGGGATTGGATTCCGGCGAAAGAAATGATGATCTAAAGGCCAAGACATTGTTGGGAAAAAAAGGGAACATGATGAAACATGATAGAATGGGGTTCCATCATGGGAAATGATAGAAATTTATATGTTCCATCATGATAGATAGAAACTAGAAATATGGGAAATTGATGATAGATTGTTAGTCATGGGACGATAGAAACTGATAGAAACTCATAGAATGGGGTTCCAAATTTCGAGACAATATGAGACCATTCAAGTTGATGACCTTCGATGTGATGAGCGTCAGGCCGAGATTGCTGCATCAGCGATCTACCAGAGAAGAATTGCAGGAGCACTGAGAACAGCATCACTCTTTGGTCAGTGGTTTCAAATAAAACATAGTGAATTTATACATATATTATACAGTACATTAATGCAAGCAGATGGCATGGTATAGCTCAACTGCCAGAAAGTGTGATTTGATTCGAATAATTGCTGACTTGGAGAGTTTGACTGCAACATGTATGTCGCCCCGGAAAAGCCAGCTCATTTTGTATTAGCATAAAATGACAAATGGGCCAAATGGGGATATAAATTAAATCAACGAGTGGAGTAAGAACAACCATCAAACAATTTGGAACTATGTATATATATAATATATATATATATATGTATATCATCTATCTTGGAGCAAACCTACATCTTTCATATTCGCCCATTGTCATCCTATATCGTATATGATAAGACGTCTCTACGACGACCATTTTTTTTTGTCTTCCAAGGAGGCGCCTGCAACTTCAAGGCCCTTGGTCACTGCCAGGATCCAACTTTGGAACATTTTGGGGAGCAAATGGATACCCTCTGGTAAACTAACATAGCTATGGGAAATCACCATTTTCAATGGGAAAATCCACTATAAATCACCATTTTCAATAGCTATGTTAAATTACCAGAGGGTAGTAGTTGTTGAAGGTGCTCAATGTTGGCAATTCTTGAGGTTTTTACACTATGTCATTCAGTTGGGAACACATCTTCGTAGTTTTGGGAGTATATGAAGGTTGATGAATGTCACACACACACATTGAGACATCATATCATCATATCATGATATTGATATTGATATCATATGTACATATATATATATATACAGTATAACATTGATATAGCATTTGTATTTTTGTTCATCATCCATGTTGCAGGTCTATGGGAATGCAGCCCCTTAATGATTACCAAGGTGGTTAAGATTCGCCAAGAAAAAATATGGTTACCATTTGCCATTAACCCCCACGGGATCCCATTGATATATCCCATGATATCCACAAAATGGGAGTTAATGGCATATAATTAATGGGATATCCATTTTAAGATATTTGTGACCTATGGCATTTTTGAATATATTTGATATCCCATGATTGTACCTCCATTTTTGTCGATGATATTATATCTCTCCATTATACTCCATAGTGTGTCACAGTCTAATGACACTACCGTAGGTGGACAAATTAGTCAACCCCCCTATAGACATCTCGAACCCCCCTCCCCCCAAAATGTCAATGTTATTTGTATGTTCAAAGCATGGCCATGAATGGACGAAATAAATCAAAAACCAGAGGATTAACATGGAGATATAAGACAGCAACATTGAAATTTCAGGGGCCCCGGGATAATTTATACATGACACACCCGGGGGTTGATGAATTTGTCCATCGACTGTATGAATCCACCTTGGCCACCGGCTGCTTCACCGGCGCAGTGCAGGCCCCGGTTGCTCCGGCAGCGCTCTCTCGACGTTGAGGAGCGTAGCTGGGAAAAATCCCATAGATTCAGAATGATTCAGATGTCAAAACAGAAGCTCATGGCCTCGAGATACTTTCCCATGGCCTATGGTTTTAATCATCCAAACATAGCCAAACTGGGGAGGTATCTGAAAATCCGAACCAAACAAAATGGAGACATTCTGCATGTGGAGAAGCCAAGCAGGATCTGCCATCGACCCACAGGCCTTGGGGCGTTTTGCTGTCATGATCTTCAACCATCCGATAAATTGATTGAAGCATCATTGTCATTGATTTCAAAGCATTCTACTTTTTTTTATCATCCTTGTCATTGTTGATCTTTTATGATCCAATATGCAGTTGTATGATCATAAATTTGATAAATCATAAATGCAGTTGGATTAATGATGATCATCCAATACTGATTGATCATCCTTGTCGTTAGTCATCTCCAAATTCTGTCATTATCTTTTTATTTTAAGCCGTCGGATGATGGTGATCTCCTGAAGAGGCCACCTCACCCACCGCATCCACCTCACAGCTACGTGAAGCAACGTACCATGGAGGAGCGACTTTCTGAAAGCCTGGGAGGATGATGGGATGATGGTTGAACTTGTTGAAGAATGTTAGTAAAACTAACAGTTTTTACCACTCATATTAGTTGATGGTTTATACATTTTCAGACCACCCATTTACGGTAGAATTCGGGATGGTGGATCCTATTGTTTTGCCAACATTACTCATTTCGTCATGGACACTGGATGTACACATATGTACAATATGTGCTTGACAATATGTCACTATGTGTACAAAAATTGTGTGTGTGTATATGCAAATTATATTAGATACAGGCATACAGTAAACACATGAACATATGATGTAAGAAGTCGTTTCACTATACTTCTGGAATACGAATAGCTGCTGAATATGTGTGGTTTGTTCATTGCTGGTATTTGAGAAGACGAATCTTGATGACCAGCTGAGTAGAGAGCTTGAAACACAGTTGTTTTCAATTTCCAGCGTTTCACTAGACATAACCGGGTGATACAGCAGCAAGAATAATCCCCTCTCCCTATTACTAAATCTCCCCCAAAATAGTAAAAACTACCCCAGATTATTTGTTTTGGGAAATTTCAGATTGGTCAATTTGACTTTTAATTGATCGCCTTTAGACAACAATTTAAAAATCAAGGTCCATTTGAAGGTTCTACCCCCTTACAATTAAAACTGGTTAGCCCCGGGGTGTTTTTTTATTAAGATCCGTTTGTTACAATCCAATATTTCAGTTTTTGTTTAATAAGGTTTTACATTTGATAGTAGGGGAAAACTTCGAAATCCAAATGTTGGCCATATGTTCTATAATTAATATTAAAGGGGATTTAATCGATTTTGAAATCGAAAATGTTTTCATTATTATTATTAAGGTTTTAAATTTAAATAGTAGCGGAAAACTTCGAAATCCAATCTTTGGCAATATCTTAATTAGATTTTAAACATGGATTTAATCGATTTTGAAATCGAAGATTTTCGTTTTTTCTTTAGAAAAATAAGATTTTAATGTTATTTGGGGAAAGCTTCGAAATCCAAATGTTGGCAATATTTGAATTAGATTACAAGAGGGAATTTAATTGATTTTGAAATCGAAAACTATAGTTTTTTTTTTTGATTAAGGTTTTGAATCTATTATTGGGGAAAAGCTTCCAAATGCAATTTCTGGCAATATTTTAAGTATTAGAATATAAAATAATAAAAGGGAATATAATTGATGTTGAAATCGAGACTTTAGTTTTTATTAAAGTTTTAAATTTATTATTAGGGGAAAGCTTCGAAATAATTTTTGGCAATATTTTGATTAGATTTTAAGAGGGAATTTAGTTGATTTTGAAATAAAAAATTATAATGTTTTTTCTTTATTATATAAGGTTTAAATTTATTATTACGGGAAAGCTTCTCCACCGAATATTAAATACCCCCTAATAATAAAAACTACCCCTAGGTTTTATTTTTTGGGAGGGGCGGGCGTTTAATATTAGGGTGAAGGGATTATGATGTAAGATGATGTGAGTATGGCCAAAGCTGATTTCCCCAAGCAATACCCTTTGGTACATAAATTCACATTTGCTATGGAAAGTGATCATTTTTTAATACGTATTTTTAATCGGTAAAATCCTCTATAAATGGGCCATTGTCCCTAGCTTTTGAGAGGGTATCGAGCAAGGGGTGTATAGATCCCAGTAAGGCAAGCCATCTGAAGCCATAGAAGGAACCCAGCGCACCTTCAGTTCCACGAAGGCCAGTGGGTAGGGAGAAGATTCAGCCATTCCAGGTACAAATAGATGGGAGTTTAGTTGGATGATGTACCCTGATTTACCCTCAAACGTGTTGATTTTCGTGAGCCATGGCTAGCTTAGCTACCCAAAATATCCAGAAATGTAGGATAATCACATAACTCACAGAACCATAGTGGTGCTGTCACAATTGAAGACTACTTTGGTGCTTTGAGCCTTTATTAATGCCTCCGCATCCGTTGCTGGGATGATTGGTTTCGGTCATCAATCTAGGGTATGCAAGTTTGATCTAGGAATGTTCATGTTTTTTTTTGTTTTAAATTGGAGAAATATGATCATGAGTTTGTGGCTTGATGTGGCTTGTTGTTCGTGCCAAGCTCAAACAGCAGGGTTGAGTTGGATGCAGAAATATTTCTGAGCCCACCAAGGGAGCCCCAATTATGGCCCAAAGTGTGTTCGTCATGTTTGATCCCAAGCCTCTGCAAACAAAAAAAGATCATGGGTGTCTTACGCGTAAACCCCAAGAAACAAGCCTAGATTCGGCCATGTTCAGGTCATTCCTTGATGATGACCACGAGGCATGGATGTGGGCAGATCTTCACAGCAGGGGGATGAGTCATGGAACAACATTTCCGACCTTTGACGATCTTTGTTTGATGGCACTGTTTTCCCTCTCCATCCAGACTTGAATCCATAAAATTATGGATACCCTCTAAAATTGGATACCCATAAAAAGAGTTGATGGTTTGACATCCAATTTGAATCATGTAACGAGGCCATGTTTTGACTCATTCCCAAGTCACTGACCCCAAGTCACTGACCGCGATCGCCCAGGGGGCCCAGGATCCCTTCAACGCTACGGCTCGGTCCTCTTGGAGCCGACAATGCTCCGGCTCGGAGGTGGAGTCGCATGGTTGACCATGGTGGCCATGGAAAAAAGGATCGAAATTCGGGAAACATTGAGTTTCCCTCTGGTAAACTAACATAACTATGGAAAATCACCATTTTCAATGGGAAAATCCACTATAAATGGTGATTTTCAATAGCTATGTTAAATTACCAGAGGTTTCTTGTGAGTTTTCGTAAGTTTGTGAAGAAAAATACATAAAAATCTGGAGCTTAAGGTGTTTTTTTATTGTGCACATGTCTTTGTTAGATGTTGGTAAGACTGGGGCAAGTATCTAGTGTTCAAGCTTCTCGTGACTTGAAAAGGACGTGGTCCAAACATTGCTGCAGGCGGTCATTCATTCCCACTTTTTCATCCACAATATCAGGTCCTTTCAACTTTGTACTGGCAGCTTTGGGATGTTTTGTGGCTTTGTCTTCAGACCCATTGAACCCTTGTTTTCCTTGATTGCTGAATGTATAAAAGCCTCCAAAGGTTGTTTTTTTTTTTTCGTGTCATTGCAGTACGTATTGTGAAACTCAGATGCGTCATATATAAATCCTTACCACGATTTAGCCCCAAAATGGATAGACACTGCCCAAAACTTATTGTTTACCAGCATGTACCAACCATTTAGATATCCATTTAGCAACAAGGTCCCCCATGGATCATGGTACCAGTACCATCCATGGAGCGTAGCAGGTGTCCAGCTCATCACAAATGTCCTCGACGCATCGGGCTTTCCTGGGAATTACCAGTAGCTTGGCTCAACGGCGCTGGATGATGCTGGATGGGGGGTTCATAACTTGATATAACTCCATTGTAGATATAACTTGATATAACTGGATGATGTAGTTATTGTAGATATAACTTGATATAACCAAATCATCCAAGCCATTAGACTCCATTTGAGCTTTGAAATTCATGGTTGATCATATGCGTTCCTTTGTAACTTGCTATTTCATGCTCCCATGGAAATTGCATACCTGGAAAGGGGCACTTGATGATTGAAAGGTGAGTTTTTGTCCTTGATAACAAAATTGATGAATATCGATGATTCTGAATTTGGTCTATTTTTGATCATGTGCGTCTCATGTTTTACTCAAGATGGTTGTCCTGCTGAAGTAAACAGATTTCGGATGTTCCCAGTTGATCGTAATTTCTGTATTCAGATTTTTGGCTGGTGTCTCATCATCTTCCACAAGACGCTGCTTAAAGCAGCCCAACAGTAGTCGCATCAGAAGTTGAGCCTGTGCTGCAGTGCTGTGGTTGGCTGTTAGAAAACGTTGTGCCAGAGACACGGAACAGATGAGAATCATCGTCTTTCATCACCCTTCGAGTTCCATTGAGGCTTCGAGTTCAAATCCAATTCCACAGATGGGGCATCGAAGGTGGCGCGTGCCGGTTCCCATTTCATTTCAATCGGCAGATCATCAAAGCAGCTAAGACCCCAATGTGTACTGTGAGTCAAATTTCGGCCCAAGCACCTGCAGATGTCACAGGAGTTGGTCATGTTGTGTATACTTCGGTAAAAATCATACGTATAAAAGCTATAACTTACCTGGAGGTCCATGTCCAGGTGACTTGTGTCACTTGTCTGCAAGGCCAGAAAATTGCGCATCCCTGGTCGAAAGCCTGAAGGTGCAGTATGTGGTGTCATGTAAAAATGGTGAAGTTGAAAAAAAAAATCCAAAGCATTCTCCCGGCTTCTTGGACGATCTTGGATGATCTTGTATGATGATTTAATATGATTTAATATTTTTTGAATGTCCCTTGGAGTAATTTGGTAGCCATGATTAGCTAGTGGAGGCTCACTCCCTTGGACCGCAGGCTTGATGCTGCCACAAGTACCCATGCAGGCGCGAGAAATGCAGTTTTGCCCGACGTTTGACGAAGATTCAAGCAGGACATGAGATCCTCAGTAGCTACATGATGCTACATGTTTGCACGTTTGATCCACGCCGGTTTGCAAAGGCTTGGAGATTGTATAGTACCATTAAAGTACTCTATCTCCCTGGTCTCGGTCCTACAAGCGGTGCGGTTGTCTCAATCAAGTCCAGATGGGGATGAGACATAGTCTCAGGAGGAATTCCGTCCCCCTCCACTGATAGTTTTGGAGTTTTGGCCCAAAAATGGGGTGTCAACAGTGGATTGCTTCAGATTTGCAAAATAGCAACAGTTGGTGGTTTGGTGGTTTGGTGGTTTTCCAAAATCTGAGAGTGTTTTTCTCTCTCTCTCTCTCTCTCGGGGCTCTTCAATCTTTGACCTTACACGCACACACACACACATCATCAAATATCCATGAGTTCTCAAGTATCTATTTGGGATTGTTTGAAAATGTTGAAAATGCGGGATACCCTCAACCTCAAGATTCAAATGATTCTAATGGACAACATATGGTTCTGTCTGAAAATCCCCAAAACCAAATGGATTATCATCATGTTCTCTACTTTCAAGTGACCATTTATGGGTATCCCCCATGATTCAGACACATCTCAATCATAGTATAATTAGCCCATCATATCCCCATGAAATCCGCACTATATCACCATGTTTCTTGGTTCAATGCCCAATCAATCCCAATCCCAAATCACCAATATAAATCCCAATGAAGTCATCATTAAATCTCATAAGTGTCCATTTTCAGACATCCATATGAAGTGTTCAACATTTCTCAACCATCGAAGCTGGGGATAGCAGCTCCAGGCCGGCCATTCGCCCGCTTCTGAGCAACCGCTCAGTTGTCGTATCTTGGTGTCCAGTGCGATGCCATCCAGGGCTGCATATATATATATATATGTGTGCGTGTACACACGTATATACAGGCTATGTATGGCTATGTGATTTATATAGATGTATGCTTGAATGTATATATATATATATTGTAAGTTTAGCTATCAGAATATCATATATTATAATGTATAAATATTTATCATATCATATCATGTCTTAATATACCTATACCTGTCTAACATTATCCGACCGTTTGATCACATGTAGTAATATAGCATGCTTGTATACCCAATGATTTGGACAAGTTTTTCTTCGAGTATTGTTGATTGGAACAGCAATTCGAACACACTTTGCCACTGGTTGGTGGCTCAAACCATTTGTGTTTGCATGCTTAGAGTAGAGGAGATCCGGGAAAGATGAATACAGGCCAGCTGTATACATTTGAGACATATATGCACTACGTGTACATATTATATATATATATGTGTGTGTGTGTACACATCATTGTATATACATATTTTCAGCAAGTATAGACAGGTTTTTGAATGATCATCTATATTCACATCAGTACAATAATTGTCAGTTGTCCATACCCCAACAAGCATGAATTAATTGCTTTGAGATAATGAATACTTATATAGCAGTACATACCGCTAACTAGTACAAAATGGTACTAAATATAACTAAATGCTACTAAATATCACTAATGTGACTATATATATATATATCATTATGTATTTCATTATTATATATATAGAGAGAGAGACTACAGGCATGTCTCATACCCCGCTCCTTAAGGTGACTCTGGAGACCATGATGAAAGATCAGAAAGCGACGCCATGGCGTCCTCCAGCGATGACCAGGTGACCATGGGTCGTTTCAGCCGCGTTGGTGTTCCAAGGTGAAACATATCGTTTGTTTAACGTGTTTTTTTTGAATTTTCTACGGTCAACATAGATGATTTGTTGATTTGTTGGCATGTAATCATCTCAGAATGAACCATAGTTTTTTTTGATGGGATGATTTTTGTTGGTGATGTCAATTATTGGTGATAGTTGTTGGTGATGTCAGTCATTTTGACTCACAACAGTCTAATTGCCATCTGGCTATTTAACATAGCCATGGAAAATCACCATTTTGAATAGGTAAACCATCTATAAATGGGCCATCTATACCATGGCTATGTTAAATAACCAGAGGGTAATCATCAACTTTCTGAACGTTTGACCGCCCCGGTGGGACAGGATGCAAAGCCGTTGCCACGGGTTGCGGTGAAACCGCCAGCGCAGGAGAGTTCTGTGAATGGCAGGGGCATCAAGGGACCCACATTTTTTGTAATTCTTGGTATTGAACAATTTTTACCCTCTGGTAATTTAACATAGCTATTGAAAATCACCATTTTTAATGGGAAAATCCACGATTAATGGTCATTTTCAATAGCTACGTTAAATTACCAGGGGGTACAGTTTTCTTTTGTCATGTTTAGGTGTTTTTGTCATGTTCAATATGTTTGGAAGGAGGGACAATGATTTTTGATCCATACCCATAGATGGTACACTGTATACTCCTATGTGTTTGTGCACAAGAGAGGACACAGAATGAGAAAATGATGAAAGACAGATTGTGGGATGAGCCCTGATCCAATGCTGAAAGATCTACAAGATGTCTTTGATGTTCAAACGACTTATCTGGCTCAGTGGCTGTTCGTCAGCCTGGTTTGCTGGGTGATGTTGTTTCCTAGGTCTCCATTTACCCGTCCCTAACTTTAGTGATCTAGTTATACTATGATGGATGAAAATTCCAAGCCAAGCGGCCCACAGTTGCTTGGTGCATCTTGGTTTGAACCATTCAGTTTGGGGTTGTATAATGTTATATAATTACCCAAAATTTATCAAATTTTCTGGTTGCATAGGGTGTGATGGTAGGATCCCATTTTCTTTCTGGTGCAACTGTTTAAACCATCCATCCCCCTATAGTTTTGCCCATACCCAGGGACCCAGGGACCCAGGGACCCAGGGACCCAGGGACCCATGTCGCATGCGGTACCCCGTGCAGCATCCCAGGACAGAAGCCACTTCTTTCAAATGGAGATGGCGTTCCAAGACCGGAGGCGGCTGCTACCTCGGTGAATCTGATGGCTGTTTGGTGGTCCGAAATTCAACAAGAAACACCATCCAATGGTCACTAGATGTCACTATCAGGGAAGTGTTCTCCCGAGACCAAAAAACCATGGAGGGCTATTTTTTTTTTTTCGTCGCAGGTTTTGGATTGTTTTTGGGTTTCTGGTTCTATGCTTTCCTGTTTCTCTGATTTTCTGCTTTTCTGCTTCTCTGCTTTTCTGCTTCTCTGCTTTTCTGCTTTTCCTGCTTCTCTGCTTTTTGCTTGCCCTGCTTCTCTGCTTTTTGCTTTTCCTATCTTTGCTTTTCTGCTTCTTTGTTTTCCGTGCTTCTCTGCTTTTGTACTTCTGCGCCTTTCTACTTCTACTATTCTGCTTTTTCTTTTCTTCAGTCATGTGTTTTTGCTGCTCCACTTCCTGCTCCTTTGCTTCTTTGCTTCCTGTCGTTACTGTCTCTGTGTTTTTCATTTTATTTTGCTATATTCTGTTCTGTTTGTATCCTAAATGAAACCCTAGAGAGACCCTAGGTGAAACCCAAAGAAACCCTAAAGAAATCCTGATAAGAAACCCTACATGAAGCCCTAAATGAACCCTAAAGAAACCATAAATGAACCCTAAAGAAACCATTAATTAATCCTAAAGACACCATAAATGAAACCCTAAAGAAACTTTAAATGACACCCTAAATGACACCCCAAAGAAACCCTAAACAACACTCTGAAAAAAAACAATAAATGAAACCTTGACTGACACCTTAGCTGAAACCCTAAATTGACACCCTAAAGAAACCCTAAATGAAACCTTAAATTGAAACCCTAAATGAAACCCTAAAGAAACCTTAAATGAAACCCTAAAGAGAACCGAAAGAAACCCTAAATGACACCCTAAATGAAACCCTAAACGAACCCTAAAGGAACCCACTTGAACGTTTGGAAATCGTGAAAAGAAATCATGATAAGAAACCCTGGAATGAAGCCCTAAAGAAAGCTTAAATGAACTCCTGAATGAAACCCTAAATTGAAGCCCTAGATTGAAACCCTAAAGAAACTCTAAATGAAACCCTAAAGAAACCTTAAATGAGACCCTTAATGAAACCCAAACTGAAACCCTAAATAAACCCTAAATGAAACCTTAAATGAAACCCTAAACGAAACCCTAAAGAAACCCTAAAGAAACCCTAAATGAAACCCTAAAGAAGCCCTAAAGAAACCCATTTGAACGTTTAGAACTCCGTATAAGAAACCCCGATAAGAGACCCTACATGAAACCGGAAAAAAAACCTAAATAGAACTCTAAAGGAACCCGAACCCTAAAGAAACCTTAAATGAAACCCTAAATGAAACCCTACATGAAACCCTACATGAAACCGTAAAGAAACCCTAAATGAAACCCTAAAGAAACCCTAAATGAAACCCTAAAAGAAACCCCAAATGAAGCCCTAAATAAAACCCTAAATGAAACCATTAATGAAACCCTAAATGAAAGCCTAAAGAACCCTCAAGAGACCCACATGAACGTTTGAAGCACCAAAATGTAGCAAATACCATGCAAATGAGAGGTTGAAATGCCAAAATATGACAAATAGCATGCAAAATGGAAGGCACACATGGCAAATACCGTGCAAAATGCAAAGTGACCATGCCAAAATGTAGCAAATACCATGCAAAATGACAGGTTCTAGTTCCAAACTATTGCAAATACAAGGCAAAATGGTACCGGGAAAGAAAACCAAAAAACATCCAAAACCTGAGGCAAGAAAAACAAAAACTATTCTACACCCAAAAACCATCCCCACTGTTCGAAAAGATAGCCACCAAGTACTAGCTGGTCATCTTCTGTAAACCACCAGGTTAACTAGTTCAAAAGCAAATGATCATATTTTTTTCTGCTGCTTCCTCATTTTCTAAGAAGAAAAATGGTCAGGATTTCCGTCTCCGACCTGAAGCCACCAGAGTCTTGGCCGAGCCTCTGGGCAGCAGGGGGTATGAGCACCAGCTAGTGCATCACAAATGGGGATGTCCTAAAATGGGGGTACCCCAATAGCTGGATGACTGATAATGGAACACCCTATTAGTTTTTTATTAAATGGATGATTTAGGGGTACCCCAAATTTTCGGAAACTTCCAAATGGGGATACAATGGAGATAGGATGGAATAGAAAATGTTGGGTTCTTTGTGGGTAACCCAAGTTGTCATGCAAATTGTTGGTCATCCCATTGCCCGGCGGAAAAAAGACCTTTCATGGCAGGCCAGCGGATTCCTCATAATGCATGAGTGATAGCCAGGGAGCAGGGATTAAGTATTTAAATGATTTTACATGTGTGAAATCAATTGAAATCGCGGCCATATTCCTGAAAAAATGATTATAGTTGATTATAGTGAAATAAGTGATGGACTTATTACTCAGAGTAAACTCGTGAATTATCGAAACTAATAATATTACTTAAGTGATGGACTTATTACTCATAGTAAGCTCGTGAATTATCGAAACTAATATTACTCACAGTATATATCCCCAATGGGCCCATCACCAGCCTTGACAAATGGAGCGCCAGTCAGGTCGCATGAAAAATGCCCTCACTGGACGTCGGCTGTCCCACCTGGTGAATGTCTCAGTGATGGCTTTTCACTGGTATGATTGCTATCATTTGCTATATCATTTGAACAAAAAACATGTTAAATATAGTGGCAATATACCAAAACATATTATATATATATACATATGGGTACGGTATGGATCAATACCTATGAAAATACCATTTTGAGTGGGATGGATGAAGATCCATTTTAACCCAGCGATTTTGATGTGAACATGATTAGTGGTATCGATGTATTGGACCGCTCTCTCTCTCTTGGGTATGACTAGGTCCCTAGGTCATGGGTTCCCCAAAATGAATCCAAGTGATTGGTTCCTGGGTAAAGCAACAATTTGATATGTATATATATAGATAGATAGATAGATAATTATATATACATATTGTATGCCACAAGATGCCAGCAGTGTGCACAGGCCTTTCCAGGCCTGCGAATTCAATATCAGGATTCTAAAACAACCATAGGCCATTGCTGTTGATTCTATATCAGGAGATAACTGGATGTTGAGAATTGCCGGCATTATCCCATTCCCCTCACATGCAATTGCCAAGCTGCAACCTGATACCATGGTGAACATTCCAAAAATTACCGAAATGGTCTACGATGGGATGTCGTTCAATGTGAACCCAATTTTGGGGTTAAAAGCAGCATTGCCCCGTACATATCTTGGAGGTTATTTTTTTAGAATCGAGCCATCTTTAGCACTCCGAAAAGAACATACAAATGATGATATGTCGCGGACTGCGTCATGGACGCACAGGGCACAGCAGTGCAGTGCAAAATCGATGATATACATATTACATATTGCATAATAATAATGATAATATAATAATAATTATTATTATTATTATATTATAATTATGTATGTATATATATATATATAGTGTATAATGAATTAGATTCATATATGGAAAACCCACCACTTGCAGATCTCCAAAACGGGCCAAACAAAACCCATGGGATTTTCCAGGTGGCACGTCCTGAGCCGGACGTTCACCAGCGGCGTCGCTCCTCGGTCTCCTGAGGTACTACAAGGTTAGTTTATAGCACTAATATTGTTACCCTCTGGTTATTAAAAATGGTGATTTTCCATGGCTATGTTAAATAAACAGATGGTAATAGTATAATACCTGAATAATATTAACAATATTAGTGCTATAAACTAACGTAATATTGTATATGAACATTTGTTAACTAAACAATAATTCAGGTTAATTTTGTAGGACTTAAAACCTGAATAATTATATAATACCTCGGTTATTACTATTTAAGTTTAATAGTTGTTGGAAATAGTCAGAATTATCCACCAACAACTATAGTATAATTAAATAATACACTATTTATAACAATGGTTACTATGGTCAACTACTACAACTAATAATGGGAATCAATACGTAATAGTTTAATGAGAGTGTTAACCAATGGTTATTAAGCATAACAATATGAATAATGCCAAATATATATATATATAACTATAAGATACTATAAGTATATTATCATATTACCCATACCAGGCATCATTATCAACCAACAACTATGACAATTAAGAACCATTGTTACTTTCAGTATTGTTAACAATAACTAAAAATGCTATTGCTCACTATTAATTGGTAGTGACATAGTGGGTCATTATATAGTACAAGTAATCGAGCTTCTGAAATACCTTCAATGCAGGCTCCAACTTGGTTTATCATAAATGAATCAGGCCATCGTCTCAGGATTTTTGTCGATTTGACAAGACTAAGCCAGACTAAGCCATACCGCTTGATGTGGTTGTGGCTTGCACCTTAGTACCTTGCTTTAGCAGAACCCCTTCCACCAACTTCCGGTGCCAGTTTGTAGTTCGCAGTCGTGGCGAAAGAGCCCCTCGGTGGCAGTGCCGGGAGTTTGCCAGATTGCCTGGCAATTCTAGTTGGGCAGTATATTGATGTATATTGTAGTCTAGAAGATTGGAGAAATGTTTACAAGAATCAGATGTTGCTAATTGCTAGGCTCTTGTTCTTTTCTTCTTGGCAACTCCAGAAGGGCAGACGTTAACGAAACGCTGCTAATGTTTTAACTCAAAATTGCCCTTTGCTTTGTGCAAGCCCAAGGCTTCACAGAGGCAAAAATGGACAGGTTTAAAACCTTGGAAGATTCAGCTGCGGGTTCCCACTCCATGTCGGAATAGGATGCAATAGAACAGACCAGGCCGTTGGGCCGCAGCGTAAGGAAGTCCAGTTGGGAACAAGATGGATCTTCTCACCATTTGTCGGCAGAGGAAAAATGCACAGCTGGTTGCTTGCCAACCCAGGGTTTTTAGCAAGGTGTGTTGCTGTATTTCGGCAATCAAACTTGACTCGCCCTAATTAATACCTCACTGCGACGTCATTGGAATTATGAGAAGTGGATTGGGTTAGCGCGCATTTATCATAAATCACCATAAATTTATATAAATTCATTATATCTCCGTTATTATCCCCACATGAATGGTTGGACACTGTTGGATATATCATACAAATGATGATACTAAGGTTGATAAGGTTGGATATATCATATAAAATCTAGGTATAAGGAATAGATCTGATACAATGAATGGATCTCCAGTCTGACTCCACTGGGTTTCTCAAATCCACTCGCTAGGTACTGGTGACCTTGGGTGGGGATGACCATTCGATTTGCCAATGGTCCTTGCAACCGCGAGGATTCAGCTGGGCGGCTGGGCGGCTGGGCGGCTGGGAGTGGAACGGAGTGATTTCATGGGTACATAACTCACGAAATAATGGATGCCCATAGGCATTGTCAATTTCATGGGAAAAATGTTCCGATTCTGGTATACCTTCTTTTAAGATAGTTTAAGAATTTTGAGACAAAACCAGGTCAGCATGTTTTCTTACCTATTGACTCTTCCAATTTTCGTGGATTTTTTCCATGGGGATTGAAGTGATTGGTTGGAAATTAATTTGGAGGGACCCAACTTTGGAGACTGAGCACCATTGGACGCATAGATTGGCAAGGGTTCATACAGTTCATACCACATTCTTTAAAATGCAAAAATGTTGAAACATCTGATATCCACACATACACGCGTATATCCGTATATATAATATTATATAACGTTGTAGTTGCACAACTTGTGCTGCAGGTCTAGTAGTGGTTGTTCCCAATCATGTCAAATTTGCGAAATGAATTCAATTAACTAATTCCCACAGTTCGCATTTTCCTACTTACTAGTTGTGTGGTAAATCTGAGTTGTGTAGGGCATATATTTATTTGCGGCCATGAGAGGGGAAATATGAAGACCATCTAGAAATTAAGCTGTTTTTTTTTTGGGCATGTTTTAGCACTACCCAGGTAGTTTCAACTAAGGGGTTGTGAAAACCAGCAGCCAGCTATACGTGGGTTTGTGCGAAAGTGGGAGAGATTGGGAGAGCCTAAAATCACATGGTTGCTCATAATTATGTTCCTCAAACTTGCCATACATAAATTAGGGTAAATCCCTCTTGTCTGAGACAAACCAATTTTATCAGATTGTTCATGAATTCATGAAATAGTTCCATTGAATATACCCATAAGATCCCTTTTTCCCAGCTTTAACCCCCGAGTTTGACTGGTTACACCAATTCGGCTCTAACTTTTGGTTGCTGAAACCATGTTTTTTGTTGCTTAAATCCGATCAAATCCATATACTTTCACTACTTTCACTGCTCAAATCCCCATTCAAACTGGTTAAATCCCTATAGTGATCCAATCTCCACTGTTCATTGAGCAAATTTTCATGCTGTAAATACACATGCTCAGCGCAATTTTAACAGCTCAACCTGATAGAAAAGATAGCAAAGTAAAACCCTGCTAGAAAGAACCCACTGGTTTAAATGAAGTTTCTATCTGTGGGGATTCCCTGGTTCATATTTGGAGTCTCCTGCAATCCTCAATCCATCAGTGCAGGATTTGAAGAGGATCTCACACCCACCTTGCGACATCCGTGGGAGCCCAGGGAGCGTGCCAATCGCAAAAGTTTGTGTTTATTACCCTCCGGTAATGTAACAATTAATGGTGATTTACCATAGTTTGTCTATAATTTTCATGGTTAATTTCTATAGCAAACTGATAAATTACCCATTGAGCAGCTACTCCTGCACCTCCAGCTACTTTGATGTGGCGCGGTGGCTGTGGGCTCTACCAGAGTGCCAGGCAGGAGAGACTTTTGACGTGGCCTGTCCCACGACGTGTATTGCAGAAGAATTTAAAAGAAAAAACAAAAAGGAACAACACGAACAAAATGATAAAAAAGTGACCAAAAGAATCAACTCAAGAATTTGCATGCGCAATGCACCAACAGACCGGCTTGTAAAACCGTGAAAAAGAAGGACAGGATGCTGGCTGGCTGGCTGGCTGGCTGCTGATGCTTTGCTGGTCCATGCCTTGCTGTGCTGCCCTTGACGCCACCATTGGCTTGCCGTGACTCCAGGCTCCGAATGCACCGGCGCTCTGGATTGTCTGTGGTAAATGACACCGGTCAGTCTAACGACCCTTTTGCTGCACAGTGATGGTGAAAAAGCATTCATCGGCAGGCTGGACCTGGCTAAGGCCTTTGACCATGTTCACCCTGCTCATGTTTGTTGCCTCTTTCGACACCTCGTCATACTCCCTGAAGTGGTCAAACTTTTTGGCGGTTTGGGTTTGGAACCTGCTGTTTTTCTTTACCTATTTACACCCCAAACCTGAAGCCTTGGAAGTTGTGGACGAAGTCACGGCAGTTGTGGCTGCTCTGCCCCTCAGCCAGGCGTGGTGTATGGCATGGGTGCTGATTCCATAATACCAACCCCGAAGCGAATTTCTTCGAACACACGCTGCAATCTGTTGGTCACCACGTCTCGCACCCTGCTTGTTCTACTTGATGAGAGGGTCCAAGACGTTGGGATTCTTGGGCGCATGTACCAAAGGGCCGAGACCCAGCCTTCGATTCTTCCGTGGTCGAGTGGCTGCCCCACACTCGTCCAAGAGTGTTAGAAGATCGGTAATTACGACTAAGGAATGACTAGACTATAAGGTATCCCTTCTGCGCTGAGCTGCTGTGCTGCTGCGGCCATTGGCGAGGTTGCATGCCGCTGTCTTGGCGACATGTGGCTTGGGACTGTCTGGCGGCACCACGGCCAGACTTAGATGTTCATGACATGGACGAAATTCAGGTGAGACTTGGGTGGCCGTCAGGCCGCGATCCGGCTTTCGATAAATAAGTTATCGATTGGCTGACAAAGAGTTCTAGAACAACGGTATGACTAAGAAATGACTAAGGTTCTGTTCGGCTGCTGTCACCCTTTGAGCTGCGCTGCTATGCTGCTGCGGCCTTGGCCAGGGCGCATGCTGCTGTCTACACACCTATCCTCAATGTCTGAATGTGATGGGAGGTACCGAAGAGATTTACCCTTATTTTCAGCATGTTTGTTCCGCTCTTCATCACATGTGTTGGGAGTGTCCGCAAAATCCCCATCGGGACCTTGACCTCAGACCACTTGATGCTCTTCAGGAAACATTGGCCTGGGAGACAAATGATTCTACTAAGGCAGATCATGCTACAAGATTGGTCAGGTTCGCGGTTGCAACACGTGCTGATGTGTTGCAGCAGCGATATGAGGACGACTACAGTTCCTCTTCCTCCTTGGCGCTGCCTCTGGCTCCGGCTGCTCTGTGCATTCGTTGCATGTGCGGGCATCGTTGATGTTGTGTGCATCACAAACCCCTGTGTGTGCTGACTTAAGGTTCCTGTTCACTAAGCTTCCTGTTCACCACTAAGGTTCCTGTCCACTAAGGTCTCACTTATAGGTACTAACTCTGTTTGCGGTCATATGGCGGCGCGGCTGCGGCGAGAGATAACCCCTGAGCTGCTGGCACAGCATGGTCCTCGTCGTCCTTCTCGTCGTTGTACCTTGTCTAGACGTATCAGGTTAGTTCAGTACGTTGTGCCATCCAAAGCTGGCTTTGGCTGGCTTTGTCGAAACCGTTCAATCAAGGATGTCCAGCCCTTAGACAGTGCATGTCGAAACTGGATTAGAAAACCGAAACAAGCCTCTCCTGACCTGTGCCGACTGCATGGTGCACGGGCACCACTGGGACTTGAAGTTCTTGGCCACTCAGTGTCAAGTTAGTGTGTTGCACAGGTATGCTTGCAAAGTGGGGGATGCTCTGCCTGCCAACTTGCTGTCTAAGGTAGGCTGGCCTCGGACCTTGTCGCAAGGACTCCAAAAGCTAGGGTGGACCAAACTAAGGCAATGGACCTGGCGACATAATGACATGAACTTTCAGATCATTTTGTCTGGTTGTGCAGCCAGACAAAAAGAAACGCCTGAGGTTTCGCATGTGTTGCGGGAATCTTGGCGCCGCAACTAGTTTGAAAAGTTTTGCAACAGTGACAGGCGTGAACCAGGACGAGTTGCAGTGCTTGGTTACGGTGAAAAACGAGTTAAAAAGCTTAGAACTTCCACTCTCACCGCTGATGAGTTGGCTGTGGCTACCGGTGCTTTTGTTTCACCTGCATGTTTTGCGGTTATGAAAAATAGTACTGATTCCAGGATGTCCATACTGTGATTTGCCCGCCGAAAAAGCCACGTTGGAACATTGTGTTTGGCTGTGTGCCATGAATGGAAAACCACATAGTCTCCAACCGGCCGATGATTTGAAAAAACGTTTGGGATGGTCGTTGCCTCATGGCAATGATGCATGCATGAAATGGCTGGCTGAGGTCCGTAACAAGACCTTTGCAGAACGAAAAGACTAAGGAACTGTCAACTTAGGTGCCTGCCCCTTCTCGAAGCTTGCGCGAATGCTTGCGCTGTGGTGCTGCAGACGCGCTGGCTTTTGCAGGCGGCTTCAAAGTCATTCAAAGTCTACATGTCATCGTAAAATACCCATTGATGATGAACTTGAGAGAAGGCTCGGCTGGCCCCAACCCACCGGTGACAGTGTCGATTGGAAGACGCTGGACTGGATGACTAAGGTCCAAACGGTCACGTTGAGTGACCGCCATGATCCTGATTAAGGTATTTGCCTATGATCTGAGGTTTCACCGATGCCGTGCGCATCCCCAAGGTGACGTTTGTGTATCACTAGGGTTTCACTTCCCCAAACACTAAGGTGATCACTATGGCCTCACGCACTTAGGTACAGATTCAGTTCTGCCGCCGCTGGCGGCGCTGCAACGGCGAGCGTTGGCATAGTCCTACTACCCCCTTGCTTTGCAATGCGTGGTCCTCGTCGTCTTCTACCAGCTCTTTAAAATACCTATTGAGCCGGCGGTGGAGTGCCCCCGGCTGGCGGTGCTTCTTGGCGCTGCTGGCTGCTGGTGCAGAACTTCTCCGAATTACCGTGGCGGTTTACCCCACGGTCTGCTGCAGTGTGAATCACAAAAAGAGAACAAAAAAGAAAAAAAAATAAACAAAAAAAACACGAATTCAGTGACGAAAATCTCCATTTTGGAGTTGACAAAATTCATGGTCCGAAGAAGGCCAAAAAAAGATCTTGGGATTTCCCAGGACGCTGAGAAGACAAAAAAAATATTTAAAAAAAACAAAAAAGCAATGCAAGATTTGCATGAGTCATTCTAGGTGCTGGCGCTGGCTGCTGATTTGGCTGGGTGGTTGCTTCTTGCTGCCTGCTCATGCCACCTGCACTTCCCCTACTAGCCCCTTGGATGCAACTATCAGCCCTGAGATGGGCTCCCGGCAGCGCATCGACCTCGCTGATGCCATGGCTGCCTGTGAAAGAACCTTTGTGACGCATTTGCGCTGCTGCCCAGTGTCTCCAGCTGCGGCTCTCGATGATGAGCTCTTTGCTGACTCCTGCGCTGCTACAGAATGTGCTACAAACGCCTCTTGCTACCAAGAGATGTGTGACTGCTTTGAGACCATTGGTGTTTTCATGGATGACGAACTTTGGGAATACCTTGGGTTTGTTGATCCTCACCTCGAAATTTGGCCCCATATTTGTATGTTGGCTCTTGCCACCTGTTTTCTTGTGGGTGGTTGTTTCAAAAGAAAGAAACGAAAACTCCGAATCAAGAAACGTCCTTGTCACAAGGCCCACAGACAAGTCTCTTTGATTCGTACATTTGGTTGGTGCAGATTTGCTGGAAAACAAAGGGTTTGTTCTTCTAGGCTCAGGTGTAGACGTCGTGTAGTCAAGCGGTACTTGCAACGTCAAGCCTGGAAGTTTTGTAAACCCAAAGCTCATTTCTGCCCTGTTGACACCAAAACCGAGCAAACTCAAAACGAAACATGGTCTCATTTTAGTGAGAACTACATGAACCTCATGACCTCTTCTAGGTTTAATGGAGGTGCTGCGCCCAAAGGTGTTGTTCCTCGCCGCAAACGGCACAAAAGAAATGTCAGTGATGAAAACAAAATGGGAGAACTTACTGGCTTTTTTGAAGAAATCCTTGAACAGCGGAATTTCCATGGACCAACTTTTGACACTTATGGGCAGTTCTCTCCCACAGACGAATGCTGACCAAGCCTCTGCGACCAAAACAACCAAACGGAAAAAACGTACGAAACATAAAATCCAACAGGTTTCGAGAGCGGAACCCAGCGGTCAGAATGCTTCGGAAGTTAACTACTGGAGTGACAAACAGGGTACTGTAACAAACATGCCTACACCGTGGATCAGTCTGGCTGGTGGACTTGGTTACCCTCAAAACATCAACCCCCAAAAACTCCATGGATTTGATTTTCTTAATTTGCGGACACCACTGGGATCTTCAATTCCTTGCCACTGCCACAACGGCGCGTATTCTCCATAGGTATCTTAAGAAAACTATGCACTCTCTAGGCCAGTGGCCCAAAAAGCTCTCAGGTTAGACGGCAACCCTCAGACAAGGTTAGACTGGGATGAGGTCGTGGATTCGGCCTGGACATGGCAACATCATCGCCTCTCTTGTCGTGCGTCCCTGAACCCATCTTCAAATTCTTGGCTAGCAGAAGGAACCCTCCTTCAACATCAGCTTAGGGAATCTTGGAGGTAGACTCAGAAGCTTGCCCGGATGCTTCATATTGCCCTCAGCGCTTAAAGGTTCTGCAAAGCCGTCAGTTGAGTTCGCACGACCTGGCAGTCATGACAGGTGCCCTGGTTAGCCCGGCCAGGTACCATGTCATGCTTCAAAACTCTACGAATCTTGACAAGCATGCGCCAGGATGTCCTTGGTGTGGCATGGCAGCCGCTACGGCTGATTGGAACCATGTGGTGTTTGTGCCCTGCTATCATCCCACCTCCAGGATTAGCTGAATCCTCTTGTGATGAACTTGAGAGAAGGCTCGGTTGGCCCCAACCCTCCGGTGACAGTGTCGATTGGAAGACGCTGGACTGGATGACTAAGGTCCGAACGGTCACGTTGAGTGACCGCCATGATCCTGATTAAGGTATTTGCCTATGATCTGAGGTTTCACGGATGCCGTGCGCATCCCCAAGCACTAAGGTGACGTCTGTGTATCACTAAGGTTTCACTTCCCCAAACACTAAGGTGACGTTTACGTATACTAAGGTATAGCTGCTAAACTACCAGAGGGTCATGTGTTAAGTCACTAATGATATCTTGTTTGATGGTAAAACCCAAAGCATCCAATAATCCATGTAACATCTTTCTGGTAGAAACTCAAGGTATTTTTCGATAACTGGAAGATTTTTTCAAATATTTTTGGCACATTTTGTAGCATTAATTATATGTTGTTGTTCACAGTTAATTAGCGAACATTGGAAATCACTTTCAACAAAACGTGTAAGTCACTTAAGTCAGCGCATTTCGATCTTGGACCGTTTACAGCGACCTCAATGATGCTTCGTACTGGGGGGGCCATCAATTGTGGGTCTTGAATCAGATTTGGGGTTTACTGTGCACTATCCAGATTTATAGGTTCATAGATTCATAGAACACACTTGAATTAATTCAGACGATGATTTTGGGAGTGGTGAAGATGGCCCTAGTAATCCCAATGTTGACTGACGAGTCACTCTCATTTAACGACTTGTTTTGAAACGCAAAGCAGTCCCTGAGGTGGGCTGAGTTGGAAGGCTCCGAAGCGTCACAGCCCCAGAGTGAAAAACCATGATAATGTCACTTGGACGCAGGGTACGGTTTTTTTAACAAGCATTGGCCCTCCCTTACAATGAAGAAACAGTGGTTTTGTTAATTGTGATTTTACCAGTTCTTGGATAAAATGTTGTTTGCTACGCTTCAGAGTCTCCGAGGCCACAGGATCGTTTTGCCTTTCTTGGAAGGCACGAATTGCCACATTGAGTCGTTGTTTTTCAGTTGGTGGTCAAATCAACCACCACAAATTGCCTCTTATATACAGTGAGTTCCTTTGGAAGATGAGTAAGGGAACATCCGAATCAAATCCAAGAAAAAACTGACGCCTTGGGCGATGGTTGTGGGTGGTCACATTGGGATTACTCCACTATGTTCAATTGTTTTTTACTGTAGATAAACATGCATATAGGTGTTGTTTAAATCGACCATACTGACCATACCTGACAGGTTGGTAATCAAACACGGCAATGGAAACTCCTTTATTTAGTTCGAGATTTTTCCATTGAAACACCATTAATAGGGGATGTCCCATTGCCACGTTTGATTACCAGAGGGTATAACCAGTATTACCTGGTAATACCGCCTATTGTTAAAGGTTAACCACTATTAACTATTTTTAACTACTATGACTATGAACCATGATATACCACAATATACCACTACATACCACTATGAACCATGGTTATACCCATTAATCCCATGGTTTTTCGAAAACGTGGCAGGTCTGAGGAAGCCACGCCCAGGGAGGACCCGGATCCAGAACCACGCAGGCTGAGAGTTTGCAGCGCACAAAAATGGGTGGATCAAGGGAGGAACCAACAGGTACTACTCTCGGTGACTGTCTTGTGTTTTGTTATGTTTTGCTGTTTTTTGAAATGTTTTTTATTTTCATGATCTTTTAGCACCCAAACTTTGAACAAAATGGCAGAAAACTAGCTGTTGATCCTTGAAAGGATTTTTGTGTTGCCTTTTCCTTGTTTTTTTCATTTTCTACAGAGACGTGTAAACAGCTGGATGAATCAAATCCTTATTCCGCTTCGCGTGAAAATTGGTCCTGGGCCAAAAAGAACCCAGGGACCCACCTGGAAACTTGCCAACTTACCCACCTGACAGCTGATCCATGGAACCTCTGCCAGGTCGAGGGTATTTCAAGACATCAACCAGGTCCAAATCGGCGAGGAACCGAGGGGAACCGATGGACATTGGTTTAGTGAAACGAAGACACACAGCTGTGGTGGACTAGTGGCTTGAGCCTGAATGGATACCCACAGATCCGATTGAATGGTCCATTTTTGAAGTGCTTGGCGCTTTCAAATGCTAATTTGTTGGCGCATCAAACAGAGTCACTCGCCATTCAGTTTCCTGAGGTGAGGAAGAAAAGAGGCAGATCCCAGCAGTTTCTGGCCTGTGGAGATAGGAATGATGCAATAATGTGCAATAAACTATTCTATGATAAACCCAATAGCGGAACCATGTCCATGATCCACTGGATGTGATGTATTCATTTTGTCGACAACGTTGTTCTCCATAGCAATCCCATCTACTTGTTCGTAAACACTCCCCCAGCACAAGAACATTTTAGCAGTGCTAGTCATTTGTCATTTTGGGTTGCAATACTGATCAGGGATTGCAACGGTTCATCAACATTCAACAACTTCGTCTCTGCAAGATTTCTCGCATTTGTGTATCTATGAATGTCTTCCTATCGGAACCCAAAATATCCTAAATGAAGAGCTATTGATGTGTATAGACTGTATAGACCTAATGAAAATTGTTGATGAACAGGATAACATATACTGTATATAGTCATATGAGTCATATAGTATTATACAGTAATGACATATTGACATACATATATATATATATATCACATAGTATCTATACTCCCTTCCCCCGTTCATTAATTGAACAACCTCCAGAAAGCATGGGATTCTTCGGCCAGAGTCGCCGGCAGGGCAACAGGCCCAACCGGCAAACGCTTCTACCATCACCAACAGCCTGGGCTCTCAATGCACGGCGGTGGATTAGTCCAGAAATGGGGTAGTTGGCTCCAAATGGCCCATCAAACTGTGATGAAACAGATTATTAAGAAACAGTGTTTTCAAAGTAACGAATGTAACGAAGAAGTTATCAGTAATTTTGCTTTTCCTTGTGACATGTTTGTCATTCCGAGGAGTCAGGGTGTGCGGAATGCGCTGCAGTGGGACTGATGGGCAGCCGTGGTCTCTTTCAGGTCGATGTGGAGATTTGGAGGAGCAACAAGACCTTCAAATTAGTTGACATTTCTCCTGGATGTCAGACTATGGAATCATCTTCACTTTGTTTGATACATAAAATGAATTAAAATTAGACATAATGAGACACTCTGGCGATACAAAAAATGACCTGACCTTATGTGTTTGTGTATGGCCAAACAGGCACAAAATTCGCGAAAGTCTCGGTTGCATTGCCTGTGACGTTGGAATTCGCCAAGGATGGGAGAATCCGATCCAATGACTGCTCTTGAATAGGAGTGTGTTGAAACCAAGCGCTTGACTCCTTTAGAACCAGAGCAGTGCGGTCGCCTGTCCGGCCAAAAGATAGAGCTGCACATGGCTTGCTGCTTGGTGTTCAGATATATGATATATGATATATATATATATAATGATATGGTATGATAGATTCATTGTTTGATAGACGTTCCCATCCTGATGGGATTGGTTCTTACCTTATTATGGTTGGTTGCACCCTTATATGATGGGTCTACTAGGAAGGATTTTTGTTGTCCCAGGCTGGACTGAGGTCTCTACAGGAGGAAAACACAGGATCTCCCTCCAGTTTCAAGATGTTCAAGAAGTATTGATCCCAAGTTTCATCATTTTTCAAACAAATTTCCGGATTTCTTGGGCATCACAGTGTTACAAATCCTAATCATTATATCATATATAGATATAGATATATTATCATATTATCATATATATATATATACACATACATATATACATATATATATATTATATCATACTAGCATGCCTCATTTCCAGTGAAAACCTGAGGATTTTTTGGCCGCCAAGCTCCGGCGCAGGTGGACTCAGCGCTGAATCGCAGGACCTTCCAACACTGCTGTGGTGAGGGGCTCGGCGGCCGTTGCTGTTGAGAGGATGGATCTTTCCCACTGAAAATGGCTGTGTTTAATGGTGATTAATGGTGATTAATGATGGTTAATGGTGATTAATGGTGATTAATGATGGTTAATGATGGTTAATGATGGTGATTAATGGTGCTGATTAATGATGATTTCACTTACCCTCAGGTAAACTAACATAGCTATGGGAAATCACCATCTTTAATAGGTAAATCAACTATAAATGGACATGTTCAATAGCTATGTTAAGTTACCAGAGGGTAACGGGTAAATCATCAGTAGATCGTCCATGTTAGCAACTGGTATGTGAAATTGCCGGAGGATATACATATTATACATGATTATTCAGGATCTTGAGCAATCTGGAATGTTGATGAAGTATGATGGTACAATATGATTGATCAATATTGATCATATATTATGAATATTATGAGATTTAGATAGATTTAGCATTCTAGAGGTGCATGCAAGACTTTGGTTGGAACACCCCAACAGGAACGTGCACACGTTGCATCCACCGAGGATGGCGCCTCTGCTGAATCCTGGTGGATTTTCCAGTGAGGCATGGCATGGCTTGGCGCCGCGTCACAGGAGCTGCACTGGAAGAGTTGGGGTGTTACTGAGAATTCCTCAAAATCATCCCAGAATCCGCATGATTTTTCTAAGTTTTGATTGTTTTGCATCCTGAAAGTCTGTGAAAGAAAAGATCATCCCCAAAATTCATCTCATGATATCCTGCAGAATTCAGTCGTTTTTGCTACAGAAGTTGATCAAGAAATGGCTCGAGGTTTTGTTAGGGCTCCACAGAAATCTCGCCGTGGAACAGGCCCTGTGCTATGCAGACGCGTTGCAGCAGGCCAAGAAGTCGTGGTTTTGGCATGGAAATCTATGGAAATCATGGCCCAATCAAACTGGGATAAACTTGGGAGTGACAAGTCGACCTTAAAATGACTGATCGATTGATTGGTGGTTTCAAACACTACAGGTTTCAACCGCCTATTGGGATGATCAACCGGACTCTGGTGGCCTTGCAGGCTTACCGTGCCAGTGGACATGTAGGCAGGGAGACCCTGAGGTGAAGGTAAGAACCGAAGGGAAGAAGCGAAGGTAAGTCACTAGTGACTGGGCAAACTTTGGTTGGGTCTCTTAATCCTTTTTCCGGCTGGTAATTTCAGAGTTTGCTATGGAAGCCATGGCCCATTTAGATCCAGTTATATGTGACCTATCATTTTAATATGTTTTAATTGGTTTTAATGTTGATGGTGATTATCCAATATAATGATAGGTCAATATAGGTCACATATAACTGGATAATGAACACTGTTCCAATGGATGGTGATAATATTATCCAGTTCGCAAACTGTTTTTTTTTCCAGAGGGATCCAGAGGGATCTTTTGGCTAAACGAGAGAAGCGCCAGCACCGGGGTGATGTCGCGCGCGACGAGGCCGCTTCGGTGTGAGGCAGTTCGCAGAACAAATGCGTCGGACTCCCAGATGTATCTTTTGTTGTATGGGGATGTTGGGGATATACGGGATTTATTCATATTTATATAATTATACAATTATATAAATTATATATATGATCATATATGTATGTATATATATACATGGATTTGTCATGGGATGAAATGGAATAATTAGCAACAACATGTAACAACCATTTGGCGTCTTTGGGATGTTTGTTGGCAAAGTCGTGGGATGCAATAAGTAAAAGATGACCAACACCGTTCGGTGCCAAACACTGATGTTCCAAATGTGATGCTTTTTTCATCCCCCTGCCAATTACCTCTAGAAGGAAAAAAACGAGCACCTATAGAATCGGGGAGTATGGGGTAATGACTTAATCTGAAGGGGGATGTTTTGGATGATTTTTCCTTGTGGTATTTGCATAGAAACCCAAGCCCAGAAACCACCTTCCTTGTCGTTTCTTTAGGTGCTGACTTCGTCCAGGGGATTCCAGACAGTCGAGTTCTCAGGAAGTTCAATGTGAGCCATCCCCAAAACAGTTGGTATTTAATGGTTACCTATCATACTGGGCTATGCTGACTGGCGTTACCCTCGGTCCAGTAAATCACCATAGGATACCCTTAATAAGGTATGGAAAACCGATGGGTAAATCCAACAACAATATGATCTACGGATGGTGGCGTCGGCTGTGGTGATCCCAGGATTGGTGTTTGCTAATAACAACAATCATCCACCACCGCCACCAGCATCATCATCATCATCATCATTATCATGATCTCACCAGTATCATTCCTATCAATCCTACTCATCCTACCTGGATGTTGTGTAAGAGCCAAGGACTCCGGACTCGGATCTCCGAGATGATGAGGAAGGGCAAGAGGCACCCCTTGGGCACCCCTTGGGCATCTGGTGAGCAGCTTTGCCATATTTCTATATATTTCTGATAAACATAGTTATGTCAAAAACATGTATATGAGCTATGGTCAATACTCATGGTTAATAACCATTAAAAACGGGGCTAGTCATCCAATGGTGATTTAATGGGATTTATAATAACCATTATTTTTGGATCCTTATTATGGATGGGATGACCATCAATGATCAGATTGCTCTGGCGGGAGAGGAGTATGGTTCGAAAAACTACTTTAATATCGCATTTCGATGTCGGAAATTTGAAGATGAGACATATGAGACGACCTGACGTCTTGTTGTCCCAAAGCCATATTCGTTGACCGCAAATCACCCAAGGATGGCAGCAGAAAACTTCGCAACCGCCAATGTTTGAAGCGGGATGGCTCGACCACAATCCTGTTGCTGTTTTGAGTGTCTCAGTGTCTCCTATGATATCCAGGGTTGCTCCAACCTCCAACCCATTGTAGGACAAAATAATACAAAATATATAGCCACTAGAGGAGAAAACATCTAAGTTTACCATAGTTTACCTCTTTGTCTACCCATTGAAGCCCCATTTGGGCGCTTGAAACCCTGATATCCTATATCTGGTTGGTGGTTTGGAACATTTTTTATTTTCCATATATTGGGAATAGTAACCCCAACTGACTAATATTTTTCAGAGGGGTAGGTCTACCACCAACCAGATATGATCGTCCTATGTTGATCAAACCTGCCAGGCGCTTCTGGGATGTTGTCGTATGCCATTCAACGCCCGAACCTCAGATTCTGGGACAGAAATGCGGCAGTGATTTCCTGGTTTTCATATATGGCTATGGATCAATAGCTATGAAAATACCATTTTTAGTGGGATGAACATCCATTTTATCCCAGCTATTTTGATGTGAACAAAAAAGGGGTACTATTGGTTTTGACACACTGCCATATTTTCATGGTGTTCCCAATCAGAGTCATTCTGTTTGTACGTATTTTCAGGTGAGTTTTGCATCATTGCCGGTTCTGTCCATAGTTCATCGCTGGTTTCCATTGTTCTATGTGAAAGCACATAGTTGAGAGAGGCGGCCGGGGACGCTTCCACCTTTCAAAGACTGGGCTTTAAAAAGCCCTGTTCGTCTAAATCGATTTTGGGAACAAAGGGGAGGAGCCAATTGCATTCCAATTGCCTGGTTTATCCATACCAGCTTTCTATATGGGATAACACCCCAAAAATTATCTACATGTCCAATCAACCGAAACATGTCTTCAAACATCAAACATAATCCATGTACCATGGAACAACATGATTAGACATCAAACTTAATCCTCACAACAATTACTGTAACACGTACACAGTTGATCAAACAGTTCCTGGCAGGGAATTCCAGAGGCTTATCCAAAACAGTCTCAACATCATCAAACCAATGGCGTGTGGATCATTAACAATCATCATATCATGGCTGGGAAGTATTATCTAAGTATTATCATCAAAATCATATCATTCACATGATACCATCCGATAGTCAAACATGGCTGGCTGGAAATTCCAGCATTGATAGCTGATTTTCACAGCTAATCCCTTATAAATGACTACAAATGGAGGGTTATATAATGTTATATAGGTCTATAACCATCCATGATCTTCCATGTTTTCAGGGACCATACCCCATGTTTTCAGGGACTATAAGGGACTATCCCCCTGAAGTAACAAGGGATTTCCGTGGATTTCCAAGCCACGTTTGATCACTCACCGCAGGCCGGACGTGTGGCACGAGGACGGCGCCTTCGGTTGGGGCCGGGCGGAGCCGTGCCCACCGGCCGGGACGAAGATGAGCTGCTTGGCGATGCTGGGAATCGCCCCCAGTTTTACTGGTAGTAAAACATGGATGATGGTTTCATACTGTATGGCTTAGTTTCGCCTGTAAAATGTTGCCAGGAATTTCTTGCTGGTTTGAACATGTTTGAAATATGTTCCACATGTATATATTCGGTTGATGTTGTTTGTCCAATCCCATTTGGGATGATGATGATGATGATGATGTTGGTGATGATGGTGATGGTGATGATGGTGATGATGGTGATGGTGGTGATGGATCTGATATGAAAATGTGAAATCATAACAGTTAAGATGAGTTGAGAAGCGAAGGGATGGTGAATCAAACGAGTGTGCAGTACAAGACTCTGTATACGGGCTGGATCATGATTTGGCTTAGTTGTTTGCCTGCCCAATTTGCGAAGAAGTCCTTTTGGATCCCATCCTACCAAGTGACAGCTGAACTTGGGATAGTCTGGAACAGATCCTTGGAGGGCCTCATGTTTAGACGCTGACCCATTCTGGATTGCAACGTAGCTCATGAAATGAAAACACGGGACTCTCATAATCTCTCATTCCTATCCACTAGAATCCTGTAAATGATGATTTTCTATTGTTTGCTGATTTATGTACAAACTTATACTATTAAATTCAACGCGCAACTTTCTTCAACCTGCATCTGTTCGAGTGTTCCATCCTGGTGCAGGTCTGGGTTCCATCCCACTTTGGACTGGAACAGTTCGTCTCCAGCGGTGTGAAGCGGGAGAAGATTGCCGTTGTGCCGGAGGCTGCGTTGACACTTTGCGGGGAAACACCCATTGTTGGTTTGGAACATGACTTTGATTTTCCATAGTATATGGATATGTATATGGGATATATATATATATATATTCCTTCCCATTGACTTTCATATTTTTCAGAGGGGTAGGTCAACCACCAACCAGATGATGGTTTGCATTACATTGTCCGAAGATTTTGCGATATAAAAGTTTAGGAACTGATTTGTTTAACCTGTAGTTATTCACTATAATCAGTTTAACCATGTTTAACCTATATAGTTGTTCCTATTCTTGTGTCTGATATAAAGGTTCACCACAACTTCCAGGATTTGATGGCGTTTGACCCCAAAATTTGGTGGCAAAGATGGCAAGTTTTGATCCAAAGTATGGGAAACCTCACGATTCGGTATGGATTTCATAGGCTGAAAACGTATGAAAGCACCTGTGATCCTTGCGGGTAGATGACTTCGGGCGTTCAGTTACCCAGTTCAAAGTCAGAATTTGAGGTGCCAAGTGCAATGTTTGTTATAGAAGTGGTCGAAGATGGTTGAAGTATCCTAGAAATGGTCAGTGATTCGACGTCACAAGTCATCCGTAGCAGTTCGAAATGGTTTCACGTGTCAAAATAATTTACCCAAGCCGATTTTATGAACATTTATCAACCAGTTGGACGTGGCAATTATATCATTGGCAGTGGGTAGAAACTGTTTTGACACATTAAACTAATTTGTCATTAACTGTCATTTAACCCGCTTGGAAGTGGTAAGTAATTGGCCGTTGGGGGCATGTCTTCACCTGGCCCCAGGCTGTTGATACCGACCTCTTCAATCCTTCCGTGGAAGCCCTGGACCTTGGCCCAGGCTTGCTGAAATCATGATAAAGGTGTCATGTCTTAGGGTTTCAAGCTGGTTGCATCATGTTGCATATGTATATGTATAATATATATATTTACTGGTCAGTAAAGTATTATGTTTACTTTACTTGTTTCAATACTTGGTCCCTTCACCTACCGTTTTTGTATATTTGGGGCTTTGTTTTGGCTAGTAGTGCTGTTAGCTTTGTTTTTAAAACCCCGTATCTCAATCAATGTTTTCGGACGCTGAGCCGTTTCTGTCAAACAGAGCTACCTACAGACGCCATCCTTTTTTACTGTACATGTTGTATTGCTGATTTCTCCAGAATTCGTTGCCCGCCTCAAAAAATGGAGGCTTCAGTACTTTTTTCGGACTTCCTGCTAAACAAGGTAACTTAGTGGCTGCATTGCTACCCTGATTGAATCCTGCCAGTATCCACCTAGACCCTTGCGGCCTTGGCAGGCCTCCAGGGTCAGTATCTCTTCCTTTCAGTCTTCAAGTGGGAGAAGCGCAAGGGCTGGGACATCTTGCTGCGCGCCTACTTTGAGGCGGGAATAGCCAAAGCTAAACCTGGCGGTGTGTCCCCAGTGCTCCGGATCTTCAATCATGGAATGAATATGAATGAATCAATTGTGGTTTCATGTGTAGAAATCAAGTCTGGAGGATCAAGACAAGTCTAGTGGTTTCATTTTTCAATCGTAAGATGAAGAAAATCCAAATCTGGTGGTTTCAATCATGGAATGAATCACGTGTATTTGAGATGAAGAAATCAAATCTGGTGGTTTGTGTGCAGTTTGTTGGTGGTTTTATGTGTAGAATCGCCACCACTTTTCGATCACCAGGAGTTCACTGGAGCGGACAAGGTGCTGCTGATCATCAAAACGCAATCCTTCCACAGTGGGGATGACTTTCACAACAAGGCGCCTTTGTGGGTTCAAATACCCTCTGGTAATTTAACATGGCCATTTATAGTGGATTTACCCATTGAAAATGGTGATTTTCCAGCTAGCTATGTTAAATTACCAGAGGGTATCAACAATCCAATGTGTTCAATCAAAACAGATGTGCCATGATCAATAGTGAAATCATATTTTTCTATGGGGAAACTGGTGATCTAACAATATAATAATTTAATATGTATATGACCATTTGTCAAAAATAGTTGTTTAGAAGTTTAGTATTGGTTGTTGATAATTCATCTGGGTCTACTGTTTTTTCCTCTTCGTTATGAGGCGGCACGCAACTAAATTCAGCAATTCTGCAAGGCAGCGCTAGCAAACCCGCTAGGATTGCGCTAGGTTTGATTGACAGCCATGGCCTCCATGTCGTGAATGTCTTGCCAGCTTTTCTTACAAGTCTGTCAGTTTCCACATATTCCCAAATTTTCGATTTTTTCCCCACCTGCCAGGTGAGGGTTGTTAGATTTTATGTCAGTTGCCTCCTCCTCCTTCTCCTCCTCCTCCTTCTCCTCCTCCTCCTCCTCCGCCTCCTCCTGCCTCGTCCTCTCCTCCTCCTCCTCGTCCTCCTTGTCATCCTTGTCGTCCTTGTCGTCCTCGTCGTCCTCGTCGTCCTCGTCGTCCTTGCTCAACTGCGACCCGCGATCCACAGTGTTCTCTGCCGGACCTCAACCACGACCATCCACGCCCAGTGTTCCCTGCCGGACCTCAACCACGACCATCCACGCCCAGTGTTCCCTGCCGGACCTCAACCACGACCATCCGCGCCCAGTGTTCCCTGCCGGACCTCAACCGCGAGTATCCACGCCCAGTGTTCCCTGCCGGACCTCAACCACGACCATAGAATGTCAGAAAGAATGTCAGAAAGAACGCCAGATAGAATGCCAGAAAGAATGCCAGATAGAATGCCTGCCAGATAGAATGCCAGATAGAATGCCAGATAGAATGCCAGATAGAATGCCAGAAGAATGCCCAGAAAGAATGCCAGATAGAATGCCAGATAGAATGCCAGATAGAATGTCAGAATATATGTCAGAAAGAATGCCAGATAGAATGCCAGATAGAATGCCAGATGATGTCATGTCCAAAGAATGCCAGATAGAATGCCAGAATGCCAGATAATTGCAGATAGAATGTCAGAATATATGTCAGATAGTGCCAGATCGAATGCCAGATAGAATGTCGATAGATGCCAGATAGAATGCCAGATAGAATGCCAGAAGAATGCCAGAAAGAATGCCAGATAGAATGCCAGATAGAATGACAGATAGATGCCAGATAGAATGCCAGATAGAATGCCAGACATGCCAGATAGAATGCCAGATAGAATGCCAGATAGAATGCCAGATACAGATGTCAGAATGCATATGTCAGATAGAATGCCAGATAGAATGCCAGATAGAATGCCTAGATAGAATGCCAGATAGAATGCCAGATAGAAGCCAGATAGAATGTCAGAATATTGCAGATAGAATGCCAGATAGAATGCCAGATAAAATGCCAGATAGAATGCCAGATAGAATGCCAGATAGAATGCCAGATAGAATGCCAGATAGAATGCCAGCCAGATAGAATGCCAGATAGAATGTCAGAATATATGTCAGAAAGAATGCCAGATAGAATGCCAGAAAGAATGCCAGATAGAATGCCAGATAGAATGACAAATAGAATGCCAGATAGAATGACAAATAGAATGCCAGATAGAATGCCAGATAGAATGCCAGATAGAATGTCAGAACATATGTCAGATAGAATGCCAGATAGAATGTCAGATAGAATGCCAGATAGAATGCCAGATAGAATGCCAGATAGAATGCCAGATAGAATGCCAGATAGAATGCCAGGTGGAATGTCAGAATATATGTCAGATAGATTGCCAGATAGAATGCCAGATAGAATGCCAGATAGAATGTCAGAATATATTCAAGATTTGTTCAAATATACGTCCTGACATGTCCTGACATGTCATGGTGGGGATCACACGAAGTAAAGTAATTACGTATTTTACGCGCTAGATCGGCGCTAGCAACGCGCTAGCGAAAATTGCAAATACATGCCCCGGTCCACCCGCAGCCCATTCAGAGGCACAGCCATGTTCACGCTTTGGTAGCTTACAGTAAGGAAACAGCGTTGATCAGGAGGCATGCCAAGAAGCATATTGCATTCAGAGAGGCACACACACAGAGACACACAGTTCAGGAGATAGTACCAGCGACAGCGAATGAAAACCGACGTGCGTTAGCCGATTCCTGTGGTCTTAGAAAGATTTCCAAAGGTAACGAAGAATTTCCACGTTTTCACGTCATCAAGGTAGGTCATGTTTTTTTAAGGCAAACATGAGGCGGCACGCATGGAATTGCGATTTATCAACAAAACCGGGAACAGACATTTTGACAAACCGGCATATATATATATATTACTTACCACTGCTTCAGTAGGATTGTACTGGCCAAATATTTTTGGTGAATTGGTTGAGCACGATGAGGCCAATAGGCCACAGGGTAGATGATCGGCATCCAAAAAGGCTGTGTGGAGACCTTGTCTAAAGTTATTGTGGTATCTTTGGCGAAAGCCAGCAGCAACAGTTTGAATGATCAACTAATATAATATTACTGATACCTATATAGATCTATATAGTGTATATAGCTGACGTGGTATGAGCCGTAGCCAATCCATCTATTGGCAATAGCCGGAGCTTCCACCAGATTTCTGGTGGATCATTGGCTTCGAAGTCACAGGTGCTGCGGGAGATTGCTCAAGCACAAGAAGCTGGCGCAGATGCACAGAACCCGGCACGGTATCAGCTCCTTGGCCAGTCAATGTCCCATGGAAGAGATGTAAATTGAGCAGTGGCTGCTAAACCCCTGTTGGTTGATGATTGGTTTGGGGATTATACTACCCTTCATATATTGGGGATGCAATCCAAGAACAGGGAATCCCGTTCTCAACCAACCAGTACAATGGAAGGATAGAGGGATTTTGAACACTGCTCAATTGTATACTGTAGACTGTTCATCCTGGAGTGATGATTACCAATCACTTTTCGGGGCTTCAGGCAACCAATCAGTGTTGAGATGTTTTTGCTGAACTGTTTTGGTGAGGGAGAATTGGTACAATCACTTGAACAGATCCATTGAGAGGTGTAGACGCGCCTTTGCCACTGCTTGGTGGTTTCTAAGCTATAAGATCTCGCATCCCTCACTCTAAAAGCTGTTGATCTGTTTGTTCATCATTCTGTTGGGCAGTTGAACCCAACAAACTGATTTTGATGGGTTTACGAATCCCTTCCCCAAAGATTTAAAAGACTCCCCAGGATAACCATGGTTTAGTAGAGATTTATACATGTCCGGGAAAATTTAAGGTGTGTTTAATATTAGGCGGGATGGGATGGGATTAGTTGCAACTCGCTTGAACCATATAATCAACTATCTGCTCGCTATATCCCCGTTTTGTTGGTCAAAGTCCAATCACTTTTCCGTGATATCCAAGATGGTATTCCTCATCATTCCTTGAATTAATTAAACCATATGAAACCCAAATTGATCCTCAATTTGCCAGTTCGATTTGTGTTTGTTAAACCGCTTCTTGCCCCACTTTTTTTTGGTCAGATCCACATTTTTCAGTAGTTAAATCACCACTTTTGTGGTTCAAAGAATCAAGTTGTTTTTGGATCCCCAGACTTTCGTTGGGTAAAGGAAAACACATCCTCAAACAATTTCCCAGCCTTGTTTTCTCTGGGCATGAGGCTTTTGTCAAAGGACTTGGCCCTCAAAGATTTGCCGCGCCTCTACCGTGCCGCGGATGCGTTTGTGCTGCCCAGCCGAGGTTGGTGGTGATGGGAGCTGGGGTGTTCCAAAGGGTTTGAAACTGAAGCGATGCATCTTGGGTGCTGTAAGGATCATACGATGTATATATTCGACAATGACAATGCCAGCCTTTCATGTAATTTTACGAAAAATCAGTAGATGGTATTGGAGAACGGCCGGTGAGGGATGTCGTTGCTTGGGTCAAGGTTTATGCGGTACATGGGACTCTTGAAACCCATGCAGCTCAGCTGCAAAGATTGGCCCCACCTGTTTTTATTGTCGATCTGAGCGGTTCTCGGAAGTGGGGCACCAAAAAGAGAGAGAGAGGGAACATAAACTTATTCATTAAACTTAAGTAATGAATAAAAATCATAGGTAGATATATGAATGATATATAATGATATATATTGGGATAATATAAATAGCATGCTGGTGAATCATCGGGGTCTTAATGTTTGATGTTCAGAAACTCCATTTCAACGGAGAGCCCCTGTCGTATCGTGGCAGGTGAAGGATGGGGACGGCCACATGTGGAAGCGATGTCGATGGCCCTTCCGGTGATTGCCACCAATTGGAGCGGCTCCACAGCCACTTGCAGGGAAGTTGTTTAACTTGTGGTCACAAGTTGGTGTCTGGAAACATGTGTTTTTTTTCCAAACTGGAAGTTTTACTGTGAAAATGGACTGTATAAACCATCAAATTTGGGGTAGCCGACTTTCAGGCATTGCCTCACGTGCCTTTGAATTTTCATCCGAACCAACAGGATCATAGGATCATAATCCCCAACGAGTTTTTGACTCGGTTTTCCACCGAAGTGACTGCTGCAACCAGAGCCACATTGTCGACGAGATGGTTTCTCAAAGTATGGCGAAAGTCATGTTTGGGTGTTGGGGTCAAACTAAGCCACCATAAATTGCGAGCATTGGCTGGGCAACATCCGAAGCTGTTGAAACATGCTGGGTTGAATTGAAAGCATATTCTTAATCAATGACAGGTATGAAGTTCCCCATTGGTAGTTGAACCATGTTGGACCCTATTTCCCAACCTGGTGACAATTGGGATAGTATGTTAGCTGTCTTGGTCGGTTAAACCCCATGTTTGATTTTGTTATATTTTGTTGATAGCAGTTGATATGAAACGGTACAAAATTTATAGTTACTTATGAAGTATATAATTGTTTGCAACTGGGGGTTTGGTGGCGTAGGACAAGTGCCACTTGGAGATTGCTTGGAGTACACCGTATACGCGTTCATCCGGGTCACACTAAACGTTTGCCACACATACCTTTCAATTTATTGTATCAATTTCAGGGATCATTCCAACAACCCAAGTAGGGCCTCAACATATCTCAACTTACTTGTGGGATCTTATTGGGTTTCATGCGCACGAAGCACGACCTTCTCACATGTGCTCGCCAACTGAGCCGACCATCCAGCGGTTGGTGTTGTTTTTTGCCCGCACGATCATAAAGCATAGTTGTTGAATTTCAAGCCTAGTTGTTTTCCTGAACAGTATTTACTTTGGTTTCTGTCACCCAGAAAGGCAGGTGCCTTCCCTCACATCTTTAAACTTTAATCACCTTCCCTTTTATAAGTGGTTTCATTGTTTATTTTTCAGGAACCCATCAAAATCTGGATGTTTGGGATGGTAAAACCATGGATGCCTCTCTTCCCTGGCCCTGACCCCAATCACTTGATCTAAGGAGTTCCTCCACTCGGACGTGGCGCTGCCCTTGCCGCTCGACGGCCTGGAGCCGGCAGAGAACGGCCACGGCCGCTGGGCACAGCCCTCGCGCGAGCAGCTGCGGCGGCTGATGCGCTACCTGCAGCAGCATCCCCGGGAGGGAAAGGCCATTGGAGAGGCGTTGGTCGAGTCGGGGGCATTGGATGGGACGATTTTGCTGGGATTTGATTTTCTTTGCTATAGGCAAATTAGAGTAGATGGATGGTGATTTTGAGTGCTGTCTCTTGGATTTTCTATGATTTCACGGTGGGTTCCGGATGGAAGGGAAACGATGATGCGGAGAAGATGGTGGAATGGTGGATAACTTTGAGGGATTGGGATCTCTGGATTTGCTGGGAGACCCACCTGGCAAAAAGGAGCCAAGTCTCAGAAAAAAATGAGTGTTTTTTTGGCTGTTTTGGGCAGTCGTTGTTTACAATTTCCTATGTTTCGAAAATTTTCTTGTGCTCCGTCCAACACAGCTCCGCTGCCACAAAGCCAAATGCAGGCAGCACGTCAACGAATGGTGGAAAGATTCAGCCCAGAGAAGGTTGTGTCTCAGCATATTCTACCTTTGCTGCAGCGATGGCATCGAGGACCAGGGTGACAAAGGTCATGGGTCTGTACGGGTCAAAGAACCCATGCCATCTTTAGGTATTCAATCATGGAATCAAGATGGACAATTCCATTCCCATGACACTTGGAATTGGATGTGTCGAAATGTGTAGAGTTGAGTCCCAAGTCCATGAAGATTTCAGCACTGCTCGTTAGTTTGACCGTTTGACCAACCTTTCAAGGGGGAACGCCATGAGGGTTCACACTTTTGCACTGGCATACTAGCCATCATACCCATATCACATGATTAAATATTATTAATGTTGAGCCCCATTTTTGCAGGTTAAACGCCGATCCCTCTGGGTCTGGGTTTGACATGGTTTGACTGCTTGTCAAGTCAAATGCGGTCTCAGAGCCTGGAACGTCGAGTCACTTTGATCCCATCCTTTGCGTATAGTCCCAGATGTCCCCGTGGTTTCAATGGCGCACCCCCAAGAATTCCCTGGATTATCATAGGTTGGTTTATCATAGGTTTTCCATTAAAGATGCAATTTCCGGTTAAAATTAGATACAATCATGTTAATTCCCCATTATATAAACATTCCCAAAAATCACCACATCAAATGTCCTTATAATTATACAAAATGGTCACTTTTGAAGACCGTGCATCAGGATCCAAGTCCGCGAAATCCGAGTTGTGACAGCCATGCCACGCAGACCAGGTGGGGCATGTGGCGGTGACCAACATGGGGATGGAGATTTCCATCCTGGGAATGGATCCCAAGGAAAACCCACCTGGGTACCCGGGTACCTGGGGTGCTGGAGATCTAGAAAGTGTTCAACAGGGACAAAGTGCTGATGCTGGAATGCCCACCTTGCAGATCTCACAGTCCATTGCAGATGGAAGAGGGCCCACCACCAGGTGTGCTGATGCAGCGGGCTGATCGGTCAGTGACCATGCTCGAGCTCGCAATGCGGAGAATGGGAAGGCGAAATCTGCAGTGCAAACGACAAACAAGAGCTGCTGCACGCCCTGCCGAAGCTCATCCAGTTCATCCCATGAAAGCTGTCGAGTTTCCAGCCGGAATGTCTAAGTTTGCTAGAATTTTGGTCCCAAGATGCCTTGTGGAACCCATACAATCAAGAAGAACGGGCGGCGCAGGTGAGGTGGAAGATGGAAGAAGTGCCAGTTGAACCGTGGTTTCAAACTGCAAGATGGGCATATCCATGAGCTTTGTGGGAGATTTTGAAGGAAAATGATCCCAGACTCCGAGCCTCAGCAAACGCTGACTCGCGACTTTCTGATGCCAAAAGATGTTGGACATTTTGACTGATGGGACTGGAGATATTTGAGGAATTTGTGATGGTTGATGCCTGTCAGGGACGGCAACTATGACAATACCTAGAGTCTAGAGTCTTGAGTGGCATCGCGCAGGCAACTGCTATTACTAGGCCCTAGGGGTCAGGTCAGGTACACACACACACACGTTTAAGTCAAACTTCATCACAAAATATCCACAACGATTGCTTTATCACTAAATGTTTTATTTGCTATGACATAAATCAACATGAACCAGATATATGATAGTTTCCCGTTGATGTGATGAAATGCAGGACACTGATGACTTTGAATGACACTTACTCAGTTGGTTTCTGCTTCTCGCTGGACCCATTGTCTGGCTGGGTCGGTCCATCAAGGACTTCACCAGTTGGAGTGTGATCCATTTGGCTCATCAGCTGAGTAGGGAACCCCTTCACCTACTGCTGGGAGTCTCAGTTCAGATGCAGCCTCTGAGAGGTTCACAGGCCTTCTGGCCCGTGACACATGAAAACCCAAGCGAAAGCACCAATAGCAGGCATGGATGGCATGCTGCCAACTTCAGCCCAGCAGAACCAGGGTTCAAGTACCTGGATGGTCCATGATAGTCGTCCCTCAAGAATACCCCCCCATACTGAAACCTCAAGACGAGCAGACTCATCGCCAAGGTGAGCTTCAGCGAACCGAACCGGCTTGAACTCAAAGATGTTGAGGTGAGATGGGATCTCAGATGTATCATGACTGGCAGGTGGTTTCAAACATCCATCACGCATGATGTTTATCATAGATTATGTTTATTTTTATTTTTTATTTTTTTTGGCCACTTAAAATGGAAGATGACTAGCACAAAATAGACCCACACCCACATGTTGATTGTTTTTTTTTCCAGGTTTTTTTCTCCCTGCGGAATGAATAGCGGCCTGTTCACACCTTCACACCGCTCTGCAGGTTGCGGCTGTCCTTGTTCTTCCTGGGATTCTTTGCCCTTCAGGTTGTTGGCAAGGGGGCAAGGGGTCAATGTGCATGGTAACTAGTGCTGTGTATAATGGAGACAGTTGCGGGGAGGTGCAAGTGGAAGGATGAGCACACTTCAGCATGCCAGTTCTGTTTTTTTCAGACTTTATATAGATGTACAATGTACACATGTATATTTATTATAAATATATCTATATTATATATATATTTAATAGTTATTATATATATATATTATATATATATTATATATACACACATTTTTTGATTGGCAAATCCAATCAACCAGAATCCTTCCTTCATTGGGGATTCCACCGCCTCAGGAGTCAATGGCAGCGGTGGACCTGGATCAAGAGGCTGAGGGTGCTGTTTGACTGGGTATGTTTGGAACTAGGTTGCCTCCAAATTCCATGGCTTATGTTATTTACTAAGTAATTATGGTTATTTAATGTTATTTACCAAGTATCAAAAGTGATATCTCGGGTATCTTGGGTATATCCCATTCTTGGACAAATCCATCATATTCATTTGGCACTTGTTTCGTGCAACGGGGGAATAGAAAGTGCAAAGAAATGTGGCCAAGTAAAAGTGTAGCCATGCCCACTGACTCGTACCACTATTCTTGGTGGGGGCTCTGTTCGTTTGGATTGGTTGGTTCCCCTCTTGGGACTACCATAGGGTGCAGTTGTGAATGAATTCCATTCAGAACTGAGAGATGACCGATGATGTTTGCATAAATTCTTCCATAGATCAAGAAAACAACAGTTTATATAGACATAAAGATGAGTTCGACGTCAAGTATAACTTGTGTCTACAAATGATATTCAAACGTGCCTTGCTGGAAATTCAACAATTTCTCAATTGAACAATCATCGTTTGATGGTGATTTTGAAGGCAATCATGTTTGATTGCTGGGTGCAATCATCAATCATCAGGGATATTCCGATTTACCCATGATTTACCCAAGATACAATCAGTTGAAACTCAGAAATGGCTGATTCTCTCCTTGTTTTTTTTTTTCCCAGGCCTGCGGCGAGGAGGAAGTGGAGGCCGTCGAGATGGCCGAGGTGCATCGGGGGTCGATTGATTGTGAGAGATATGGAAAAAAACATGGAAACACATGGAAACTCTTGGTTAAACTCTTAAACTATAAGAATAATATTTGTATATATATATATTATGTTAAGCTTGCTTTCGGTCACGAGATGTCAGGATATTCTGAAAGATGATGTTGAACTGTTGAACATTGTCCAACTCAGAGTTTCAAGGTGTATTGCGGTATGATTGTGGCCACCCAACAATTTGGCAACATTTTGGTGCCTGGAACTTTCAAAATGTAGGAAGTTTATGTGTCAGTGTTGTTTGTTTTGATCTTTGTTTGACAAGCACTGCTTGAATTCTACGATTCTGTGTGGTTGCCACAATCCTGAAATGTACCACCTGCGAAAAGCGCGTGGAAAGCTTGTAGCGGATGGGATGCCTTCTGTACCACACTGGTATCTCTGGTTGGCCATATTCGCTTTATATGTTTTTCATTGGATTATTTTGGTGTAATGAATAGATAGTGTAACATAGCCACTAGTGATGGCCTATCAGCTTTGAACTGAGTGAAATGTTTCGCATGGCATGTCATGGCACCCTGGTAGCTAGGCCGAAGCACTGAAGACGGAACTGCCAGCAGCTCAGTGTTTGACAATTTTCATGATCGTGGCAGCTAGATCAAACCAACACATGCGGATGATCACAAGCCATTGACGGGTATCATCCCCTGGTATCCATGTCCTTCCATCACTGTGCAATTGTTGTATCAATCGATAGTCATGATGAAGGTCGTCTATCCTCGTGATCAGTATCATCATCATCATCACCACCATCATCATCATCATCATCATCAACATCATGATCATGATCATGATCATCCTGACATCACTGACATCCCACTGTTGTGTGCACTTGCGACCTCCCCAAACTGCACCCGAGGCTCCAAGTGAAGGTCTCCAGTAGCGCGACTTTTGAGGAGGACCAGCTGTCATTCCTCCAGAGCGACCAGGTGCCTAAAGTCAACCCGGGGGCCGAGTATGGAACCAAAGTTGGGAAAGTGTGTGGAGAAGCGGGAGTTGTGAAGGGTTTCTGTTTGCAGGTAGGATGTGTTACAATGTTTTTTTTCAAACACCATAAACATCTATAGAATGATATTTAATATGTATATGTTTGGTGTATGTCACAAGAATGGGGACCCCTTTTTGTCGTGTGATGGACAGGCCTCCGTGGTGATAGATGACATGGCAGAATTTCAAACCATGCTGGTCGGCTGCCCAGTGATGGCGCCTTGCATTGGTCAATGGATTGGTTTTGTTGGGAAAACTACAGGAAAACCCCATATTCAATGGAAAATCTATGGTTTCTGAAACCAATCCATTGAAACCATTGAAACTATGGGTTTTCCCATTGAATATGGGGCTTAAACCTGTAAATTTTCCCAACAAAACCAATCCATTGAATTGGTGGTCAAGGAGAAGCCAAAACCCAACCACTGATGGCTGGTTTCTGGAGAGGTCTCCTTGTGGTGTGCACTTTTCCGGAAGCCCAAAAGATATTCGTTTCAGCAAAACAGAACTAAAATCGAGTCATATCGTATGTCGCAGACCATGTGTTGCGTTCTGTCAAGCTTCAGGTACAGACAGACCTGGAGGCCAGTAGTCGAGTAGTTTGAGGGGAAGGAGGGCCAAATGAGGGTTGGCCCACAGCGGCTTGATAGCTCCGCAGGAGGACCCAGCATTTTTCTTGGGCATCACCAACCGCCAAGCAGTCTTTGGGGGGATGGCACCTGTATCATATTGGCTTCGAGCGCTCCGGCCAGTTGACACCCACTGCAGACGCCGCATGCTCCTTAATTCCTGGGGCACTTTTGCTGCATTGCCACAATTCAGCTGCATCCAACTCATCGTATCTCATTGCTGGATTGGTTTGAGAAAACAGCAAATAGCTCCAGCTACTCTAGTACATTACACATCTCTCATGATGCAAAACCCTTGGCCTTGGGGAAGGAACACACTCTTCCTGTTTTCCGTTTTATTAGTTGCGGTACATGTCATGGAGATCACAACTCTACCCACCGTCTATTCTTGACTGAGGTGGTGTAAGACATCCAATGTCCGAGCAAGAACTTGAGGTATGTCTCCGCAGTCCTTGCATTGCCCAAGAAAAGTGCTCATTCAAATGCTCCTTAGATTTATTTATAGTCATTGCATGATTGAAATTGATCCCAGATTCGATGATGGTTCTTGATGCTGATTTGTTGGGGGTCTTGATCATTTCCCTCCCAGAAACACTGGGAGGGAAAAATTGAACGCAGGTTCTTGAGCATTGCTCACAGGTATCTCACAGATGAATATCTGACCAAGCTCTGGCAAAGCCAGCCCAGCTGATGTCAAAAAGGATTCATGGAACTGGAGTCTAAGTGCGTTTCACAAGAAGTTCAACGGAATTCAACACATTATACAGTACCATTCACAACTTTAGATCCTGCATTTTTATTGTCCATTGTGTTGCCATGCATTTTGGATAGTTCGGAATGATGCATTGTAAAACATGGCGAAACTGATTTGCTTAGGGATTCGAAGGCGGTAGGCTCAAGACAGCGCTGCCGCAGCCTTGTTAGAATTTTCCCGGGCTGCCAAGGAGCCATAGTCAGGCCAGGGAAGTTTGCATCAACTCCTTCAACCGTAATTGATGTCCCTCCGATTGCAATGGCAGTGAAATGATATATGACCTGGTTAGTATGAAAGGAGTTCTGTAGAATTTGTGGATCCAAGGATCTTGTGATAAGATGTGATAAGTGTCCTCTCCAGATCTTTGACACATGTGAAATTTCACCCTGGAGCTGTGCAGATGGCTGGGGATGACCTATTGCAAGCCTTGCTGGTGGCCAACGATCGTAGCCTACCACTGATCCTGGATGAAGCATCTGGGCTGCAAGAATCAGGATCTAGGTCTGGAAATTGGGGATGTCATCACCACAAGAGTGAGATGCTAAGTTCGAACCCTTCGAAATTGAAATGATTCTGGAAGTTCCTGTTGTAAAGTTGCCAGCATGGGCTCCCCATGGCAATGGCCTTCGAAGGAATGAAACTGTTGTGGCATGTGTTTAACGTTCTCACCATGACATGGCCACCAAAATCACATTTCAGCCTGGTGAATTGCCATGACACAGCCAGCTTCACCCCACCTTGGTGCCTCAACCAGGACCTTTTGGAGCAGTGGCGGCGTTCACCTCAACGCCTCAGCTGGATCTTGTCGCAGCTGGCGAAAGCGCAGCGGATTTCCAGATGTCAACAGCTGCTTCAGCTGGTGCGGCGTCACCTGGAGGTGTCTCAGCTTTGGGAAAGGTGTTTGTCCAAATATGTTGCTTGCTGCGTTCCTGGCTTGCTTGCCTGCATGGCTCCCAGAGAGATGCAGAAAAATATAGAATCTATAAGTCTATAAGCATAGTATAATTAGAACAATACCGAAAAGTGGATGGTTACAACGGGCTTTAACAACCAACAATTTGGAACTGACCAACGAATAATGGTGGTTTGAGATGTTTGAGCCTCAAAAGTTGAATGGTGCCCAGAGGAAAGCGAACAAGACAAATCAATGCTGTTCGAAGTTTCTATTCCGATTTGTCGTCAGAGGCGCCAAAAGATCATTGGTGCTATGGAGTATGACCGCAACAGACCAAGGGCTGAGCCCAAGATCTATGAACCAACAAATAGTGAGATGAAGACTCAAAGCTGTGGCAAAAATAGTGATGTAAACCCAGAAATTTATGATAGAACATGATAGAACCCAGACATAATAGTTGTTTCCTTTGTTTAGGGGTCTTCTTCACAGCTGGATGATGCTCTGCTGAGGTGAACAGCGTACACTTCAACTGCGTTCTCAGCGCCTGCGCGAGGAACGGGGACTGGCCCTCCGCCTTCGCCTTGCTGTCGCAGATGGATCAGCTGGAGGTGGAGCCTGATGCCTTGTGGCCATGGCTGGGAAGTCCCCAGTTTCGGGGGAAATCAGGCCACTTTTGATAGGTTCAAGATGATTTTAGTAGAACATAGCCCGATTTAAGCAAATATTGAGATGAATCCCCAAATATAAACCATCTGAAAACCCAAGGTTTGTTGCTTAAAATTCAAACCTTTCATGTTTGTTGATGATTCAAATCATGTCAATCCCGATCTTCTCCAATTTCTGCAAGAACTTGGGTCCTATTCCCAACCAACAAATCCTTTACTGGCAATTTTAAGAAACGCCTAAATTTGATTGTTAAATCAGTGAAACCTTCAAAATGTCCGTCATCTATGCCAGATGGGCGCTACTGTATCCCCACCGAACAAACCTCCGTTTTTTTTTTGGAATATCCCTAAGTGATGGTTGATAAAACAATGTAAAATCCATAAATTTATAAGTTTCCCATCTATCTTGAGGTAAAATCACATAACATCCATAAATGTCCCAGATTTTTTCCATGTATCATGGTGTTCAACGGTTAAGCCACCAGCCTGGCAGGTGGCCAGCGACATGATCTCCTTCAGCCTGAGCGTCCAAGCCTGCGACAGCTGGGCCTTAGCACTGCTGCTGCTGCGCTGGGCCGAAGGGCGGCAGATGCAGTGACTCGGCAGATGGGTCGTTGGGGGCGATGGTTGGGTGGGCAACCTGGGTGGGCCTCGTCGCCAACCGGATAAGAGCCAAGATATACATAACAACTCATAACATATACCAAGTTGGTGGCGAATCATTAGTCACTTGGACAAGGACCCAGACTTTTCAGCGGATAGTACTGCAAGGGTATACCGAATGTCTAGACAAACCAATATTTCAATTGGGAAATCAATTCCAACTGAGTTTTATTTGGGGATTTCACCAAGAAGGATGCTGGTATGGAGCAAATTGGGACTATCGCCTCAGATTGTGTGGGTTTCTCTGATGGGTTTGTTCACCAGCTGCAGCCAATAGTTATCATCATATATGCCATGGTCAAAACTTGGTAAATTGCCTAGTTCTTGGGGGATCGTCATCACTCCATGAGTAGAAATTTGCATGAATTTATGGTTCCATAATGGGATGATATGGGATGGATGGCCATACCACGTTACTCCCATGATATCTCCCAGTATCTTCAAATTATATTCTATTCTATTCCCATGATATGTCCTATGACTATCTTTGACTCCCCTAACATTGTTGGTTAGATCACCACAAATGTTAGGTGATTTATCGATGGTTAAGTTATCTTATTCTATCACAATAGATCACCATTATAAACATTGTTGGTTAGTTAGATCACCATAACCTAACTGTAAATATATGGTTGTTTTATAATCACCATAAATTGCTTGGTGACTTCCAGCGTCACTTGACCTCCTTGGCAGGCTGGACACCATCGCCATGAACACCCTGCTGGGCCGCTGCGCCAAAGATGGCCGTTGGGATGCCGCCCTGGAGCTGGTGCAACGGATGAGGCAACGCGAGGCCGGCGGGGCGCAGGGGACCTATGGAAAAGTGACATAGCTATGGGAAATCCCAAGTGTTTCATGGATTTATAGTAGTATATTATAATATATAGCCTAAACCCTATTGTTCCCAACATGTTTTATAGGCAACAATGTTGGGATGCCAATAATGTCTAAATTGGATTAGTATAATATTATATAGAGATTTATCAGATATTACAGTAAGTAATTGTTTATGATCGTTGTTTTCACGTGTTGTCCATATCTTTGAGATGATACTTAGAAGATATCGGGATGATAAGTTGGGATGTCACGAATAATTGGCATATATCAACTGGGAGAATTGGGAGAATATCAGCTATGGTGATTTTGATATGTTTGGGAACTTGGGATGGATGGATACACTTGGGGCTGGAAGATGTTTTGGATACATTATTGTTCCATATAATTGGATTTGAGTCAGGGAAATCCTTGAAGTGTTGTAATTTCCAGGTAGAGCAACAAAATCTGAGTGTGTCCAGAGAATCGTTTCCGGAACCAGCCACTATTGCAGCAGTTGCCTTTGTTCATTGTGCTCAATGGCAACTTGCTGCTCTAACCTGACGGTTCTGCGAGATGGTGATACTGAACCCCAACCATTCAAGGGCAGTTGGCCAAGTGTGATTTGATTGCTGATCCTGCCATGATGCAGCAGTGGATCAAAACATTAAAAACAACATATCCCCCAAAATGGTTGGATTGTTGTCAAACACTGTTGACCCCGGCCCATACGTTGTGCAGGTGTGCCAAGATACCATCACCTACAACATTTGCATAAGTGCGTGTGGGAAGGCTGCCTGGAAGGAAAGTTTGTGGTTGTGCCCAAAAATCCTGGATCACACGTTGCTGACAGACTTTGTTTCCGGGTTTGTAAATTGGTTGCTGTTCTTGTTTTCCGTGGTTTGTTGCAATTTTGATGATAGCCCCTTTTGTTTTTATATGGAAGAATCAGTGCGGCTTTGATGGATTGATATGTTGCAAACCCTGATTTGTCTGAAGATGGTGTCATGGCATTCTACTGAGTGGAAACTTGGAGCTCGACCAAAATTGCTAGCCACCTCCCTGTAATCCGAAATCTGGTGGTGCTTTGCTGTCAAAAGGAAGTCATGATGAATGCCCAGATATCTTCACTAGGAGGAGAAACCATTCTGGCGTTGGGGGTAAGCAAGCAGATGTCTTGGACACGCCAGCTACCAGATACCTTTACCCCAGGTCTATCTCCATGTTTGTTGGTACAGGATCCCCATTTGTTGTTGATCTATGTTTATCACTATAGTCACTATAGCTGATCCCAAATCAATTGTTATTGGGAAAGATCAGTTCCTCTCAGCCAAAAATATCTGCAGCCGCTCAGCATGGCTGATCAAAGGCCAGTCGTTGGATCGAAGCCGTACAGTTGCTCCAGGAGGACATGCGAGGTGTGGGGAACCGAAGGGAAGGCTGCATAACTTTTGGAAATCCTGTGGGTTGGTATTGACTTATTTATTTTATCCCCGAAATTGATAAATTGGATGTTTCACAAAACAGACATGCAAAGAAGTACCGTTGTTTGGTGAAAGAATCATACACGAAGCGGAAAGCTGTGTGCAAACCCACAGCTTGCAAATCCATGTGTGCCGTGCTTTGAAACAGACATTATAGAGATTGCATGACCACAAGGCCAGCTGTTCTGGTTTTGTTACCCACATTGCCGGGTCGTCCGTTTCACCAGCAACACGAGGCCAGTCTCTGGCAGCGGACGGCATCTCGTACAATGCCGCCATCAGCGCGTGTGCTGATGGCCAGCACCTGGGCAGCACAGAGGGGGCCCTGCAGAGTCGGCTGGGAAGTCTCCGGGGTTTTGCGTCAGCAAATGGATATTCCCATGGTATTCCTTGGGGTTGAAGTTGCGGAGATGGTGAGATTTTCAGCTCCAAAATTTGGGATATGGGGCCCCAAATGGAGGGTCGATTCCTAGAGGCTAACTATCCTTGTTCTCCATCCACCAGCAGGAGGATCACCCAATTAGAACAGGCGTACTTCACATGGCGGCTTGACACGAGACGTACTGCAGTGCAGGTCATGGGTGTCAGAGGGTTACCAGCTTCAGGAATTGGTTCCAGATTCTCAAGCTCCTGGAGGACACTGGAGATAGTTGTGATGGCTTATTTCTGCTGGGTTCACTTGGTACCCAATGACTTGAACCACACCCCACATCTGAATCTTGTCGAGAATTACAAAGCTTCGCATGGGTTTGTCATGGTTTGTCCATCAAGCTCCCCAATTAAACACTGCCATTGTGTTGTAGTTTTCCTCGTAGAAAAAGAAGGAAAATTACCCTAAAATGACTGTTTGGTGGTTTGGAACATTTTTCATTCTTCCATATATTGGGAATAGTAAGCCCAACTGACTAATATTTTTCAGAGGGGTTGAAACCACCAACCAGATGATGTATGCTGGTGTATGTGTATCCCACATTATCCCACCAGCCGGACACAACCAGCAGGAGATGCGCCAAAGCTCCGTGCAGAAGGATGGCATTACCTATGCCGCAGCCATCTCTGGCATGGATCACTGGCAACTGGCATTGGTGCCTTGGAGACAATCAGCCTAGGAACTGGCGGTTTTATTGGGGGAAAAAAGCTGGAGACTGAGGGTATTCACATGTATTCACTGGGATGATATGATGCGCAGTTTAACAACCAATCACGAGATATGATGGGGGTATGGTTTAACAGTTTAACCAAGACAAGTTTGTATACCACTTGCTTTAGGTGGCAAGGACCTCGCTCTTGATTGTTCCGAAGCACTATCCGTTGTCAGCCGTTGTCCCCTGATGTTCTTGGTGTTGGGCGCTTCTACAGCGATTTCTTGAATGGCAGACCATACAACAACTCCTAGCTTGGAAAAAAATACGGTGTCGAGCCGGGAGCACTGATGATTTCAAATAGAAAAGTAAATATAAGCACATGCCACCGGAAAAAAGAAACTCTTTTACCGACTCTCGCTCGTTTGATTTCAGACTATGTTCTTTAGCTTCCAAACCTAGGGATAGTGCCCAGCAAAAGCCCTTGGTTTCCCTTGAGATCCCGTGAGGCTTTGTTTGAGCAAATGCAGCGCGAGTCCATCCAGAGAGATCATGTGAGGAATCTCAGGAAGTGTCTCGTGATTTGTGGGGAAGACATGGGATTGACTAATACTGTCACTGTAGTATTGAAGGGGTCATTTGAAGCAACAACCCAGGGATGAAGGGCAAGAATGACTTCGTAGAGGTCTGATAGTGGTTTGCAAGTGATGGGACACGGTATTGACTGTGAAAGGTCAGATGAAATTGAAGCAAAGGACATGCACGACCAAAGATCCAGTGAAGATCAAGCAGTTCCATGTAGTTCCATCAAGGTTCATCTAAATCACACCTCGTTCCATCCACCTCCACAACTGACTTCAGGTGTCATACAACGCGGCCATAGCTGCCTGCGGTTGGCGCGAGGCGGTGGCATTACTCAGTGAACATCACAAGCCCGATGCCGCCAGCTTTGGCGCCTGCATCAGTGCCTGTGAGAAGAGTGGCTGTGCTGAAGAGGATCATCCGATCTTCCCAGGGCAAAGCATGCATTTTTCTGTTTGATAGATGAATGTGTGCGTTGGTGTTGTACCATGTTTGTTCCAGGATTGTATGAACATGAGTAGTTTAGCCTCACTAATGTTAGAGCTTTCCGACAAGTCAGGGGTACTTCCGAGAGCACCTGCAGTAAGACCAACCATCAATGCAGAATCCTGCTTTCTATTGGCAGCCTGTTGCAAATGTCTGCACCAGATGTTGACGGTGAAATCAGCAAGCATTCAAACATGCATAGCAAATCAGCCGGATTACAGCATTCTGTCGCAGATTTTGCTTTCCCACATGGCTCTCCAACTTCGATGAAAGGTGGCGAATGGCAAGCCGCCATCTTTTTGTTGGCTTGCATGTCAGCAGCGCTGGTGCCAATGACAGCTGTGACCGTGGCAGCGGCAATCAGTGCCTGTGAAAAGTGTGTCCAATGGACCATGGCGCTACAGATTTTCGCTGAGGCAGCGACGACGATGCAGCTGGATGTCGTGTCGCATTTTGGCAGCAGCTTTCGCAAATTACGCCGGTGACGGGGGTGCCAAATAATTGTTGGACAGACCTGTAGCTTCATCTGATATCATCTGATTGTTTGCAATATACAATCATAATCATAGGCCTTTCATACGTTTTTTGCACACTCTCTTGCCAGTCATTGCGGGCGTGCCTAATCTTGGCTTGAAACATTTTTTCCCACCATCTGGGATACTGTTCCCAGTCCACCAACAGGTCTTAACGTAATAAAAAACGACTAACCAGTGATCCTAAAAATGGGAGTGTTTCTTGAAATGGGGAATCCCCAAGTCACCATACACACCATAGGTTTCAATACTCAAATGATCCAATTTTGGATGATCTGTGGGTCATGGAAGCGCCCAACGCGCTGCCCATCGTTCCAAGCCCTTGCGCTAGATACAATGCTGCCATCGCGGCCTGCGAGAAAGGCAGCTGCTGGGAAGCTGCTTTGACTTTCATGAGGAGGCGTGGATTGGATGATCTTAATGGTGATCTTAATGGTGATTGATGGTGATTAATGGATTTCCTGAAGATGATCTGGTTTATTTTCCCAATGGGAGATCCATTACTTGGGGCATCGATTAAGGCAAATCCAAGAGTTGGGTCACTCAATACGGGATGCGAACAGCTCGAGTCAGCCATGAGTTGAGGGTTGGTTTAGACAATCCAATTGCCGCAAGATTTTACCATATGTTAGGGAAGTGTCCAGTTTTGGTGGGACAAGTAGTAATGTAAGAAGCATATGCGACTCTGAGACTTGTCTCGAATTCAATGAGCTACGGTCTGTTTGAAATGGGAAAACCATGCTATGTTTTGGGTCTTCACTTTATTGCATACCCAGATGTTTGAGAAAATCACAGTTTTCCACGTCTGGGTGAAATTCACACTTTCCAGTCTTTCCAAGATTGACTTTCAGATAGTGATTTATGTTTTCAGAACTAGATAAGTGACTGTACCAGTCATTGAAGAAATTGAATGCGCCGAATCATGTGGCCATCATGTCGAAGTCTTGCACCTCTGACCTATAATGCTACATATTCGTGCTGAGGTAGGTTGCTTGTTGTTGCTTCCAATAAGATTCTCCAGTCAGGTTGAAGCCACCAGGCAGCATGGATATTCACCATCACCAAGTTTTTTCAACAAGATGCAGTTGCAGAAGTGGGACCCCTTTGGATGTGCCAACAGGGCACGCCAAGTCATGCCATGACTGTCATGTTGCCAGGCTTCCTACAGCATCTTTTCAAGCTACGGCTGTCACATTCAGCTCCGTGATCAGCGTCTTGCCCACTTCCTGTGGGTGTGGATGGGTACAGAGTTTCAAACGGGAGTGTGTTGAGTATATATATATATATATTATAATATATGTATACCTCCAGATTGTCAATTTTTGAACAGGGAAAATGATGGTTTTTAATGGTTTTAAAACCAGTGGACAAAACTCACACTTGTATCATGAATGTTAAACCCATGCAAACCCATATTTTCTCAAAATGAATGAGACTTTGCCCTAAGACTGGGAATTTCTCTATTTGAATGGGATGGTTTTCGAATGCCCAGACAATCCCCATACATGTCGGTGTCAAGAGTTCGATTGGTAACGCTTTTAAAGAATCACATGGGATGGATGACTCAACAACCATAGATAGTTATCCCCAGAAAGGTAGAAAAGTATTTCCAGGTTGGTAGAGATGATGTTTTCCCCATAACTTCCAGGTGTCCAACTTTCAGACTTTTCTATCACTGGGGGTTGCTGACAGGTTCCTGCGCCAAATCCAGCCGCTGGCGTGAAGTGATGGAGCTCCTTGGGAAGGTTCACTGAGTTCACTCGGAAAAAATGGATGTTAGGGATCTCATATGATCTCATGGGATTTGGTGCTTTCAAAGATTGTGGTTCTTTGATGTTATGTTCAGAATCCCAAAGATGCGATGACCATTTGGGGCTGAAACCAACAACCAACAACCAGGCCGTATGTCTGGCCGGATGAACGCCCATGACAACCATATGTTTTGACGCGGTGTGTCCACCAGAGAAGTTATGGCTGATTTCCAACCCCCTCAAGTGCGCAGTTGCTTGTGCAGGCACCAATCTGGGAACCTGTATCTTGTGGTGCAGCCATGCGCTCGTGTGTCCATGCCGCTTGAATGCAGTGTACAACAAGCCAACTTAGTTGATGTTGATTGAGGAGCATGACGCAACACCTTGGGTTTGTCAAACTCTAAATGGTGCATCTAAAGTATTGAGATCAGTATGTTTGAATATGTACAGGATTCTAGCTGCTGAGGCGAGTCAAAAGCGGATGATGTATGCTGTTTTGCTTCTATATGTAATTAATTGTAATTATATACAGGTACACTGATATATATATATATATATATTCATATATATATATATATATATACTCATATATATATACTCATATATATATACTCATATATATATAGAGAGAGATACAAATATACATAAAAGTACAATATATATATATGTATATAATTACATACATACATATATGATATGTGATGTGTATTTATTTAATACATACATGTCAAGGCATATTTATGTATATATATATAGTTCTCGTTACCTCAAGCCTGTGAGAAACTTGTTGGATACGCGCAGCAGCTGGTGGAACAGGATCGGATAAGTTGAAAGGAGCATTTCTCGCAGCAAACGAATCAACATAAACCAACAATGGTTAGATGCTTTCAAAAATGTTTAAGATCTATGTGTCTATGTCTTGTTTTCTTCCTTATCTGAGATGATTAAGCTATTTTGACTATCATTCATGTTTTTAAAGGTTGAAACCACCTCAAACCATCAACCAAAGTATTGTGAGATGATCTTCTTCCGGAGTCCAGGATTGGGCCAAAGTGTTGCAGCTGTATCACGAGATGACCTTTGCGCTGGTGTACAAGGACAGCTTGAAATCCCATCTCTACAAGCTTGAGGTTTCTCACTTGGAAAGGGTCACTATTGTTGACACCATCGCTCCAGCTACCGTGTCAAAGTGATCATGAAATCGGGCACCAATCCTTGGGACTTCGGTTTGATGGTTTCACCATGATGGGTTTGGCTGAAAATAGGGGACCCCACCATCCGGTAGTTCAACAACATGTTGCTGATTCAAACAATCAGTTTGCGGTATAGCATGCTACCCACGTACCCAATGTTTGGCGAAAAAAACAGATTGTGGATACCGCCCTTGATGATTTATCGATCGTCGATGGTTATGGATTTTTAGTGATAAGAGGTTCATCATGCTGGATGATCAAAAATCAAAATCGTTCACAACCACTGTATGTCCGGGAATTTACCACAAAAACCTGAGTCGCTCTTCCGCCCCCCTGTAGGATGCAGACATCTACTCCACTGCTACAACTGCCTGCGCCCGTGCGGGGCAAGTTGGGCAGATGCATGCGCTGCTGGCGGAATTGGAGAGTGTGGCCTTGAACGAGTTGAAAAGGGAGTGGAATGGTAATGGTGACAAGTGGGCAACAAAGGTTTTTTTTTGTCAGTTGGAGGTTTTGTATCGCGCAACAAAAGCTGGTCTTGATTGGTTTTACCACATGATGTGGCAGTCTCTACTTGCATGTCAAACAATTGGGTGACCAAGAGTTTGCTACTTCAGGATTCAAAATAAGCTTGATGGGGTTCCTTGAGCTGAAAGCTTTGAAACAGATTGCCCTATCGACCATGGCTTCTTGTGCAGAAGCCAAGTCAGCATTGGAATTCTTGATGACTGCAGACAGGTGTTCCGGAACCGCAGCTTGCCCCTGTAGCTCAAGTTTCGACGTTTGGAAGCAAGCAAAGTGTTAACAGCTCAGTTTATTACAGAGACAGATAGGTCGCTAGCATTGAGGAGGAATGACTCAATGACTTGAGCAAACAAGATAGCTACCGCACTCCACAACCCCTCCATTCATGAGGGTTTGTACTAGCACAAGTCACAAGGACAATTATTAACCAAGCTATCAAACGATGTAGGTTTGGGAAGTATCATTATTTATCCCCTTTGATCATCTCGAACATGTTCGATGGAAACTCCCAAAATTTATGTGATCATTTACAGATAAGTTGTTTCTTGTTTTATGATGTTTGAAAAAAACATCCCCAAACGGTCCACATTCGCAAATTGATCGCATGGTGAGTGTGTATCGGAATTGTCCATCCCCAAATTCCCCAATGCATCAGGAAGATGTTCTTTGATTTCCTCCAAAAAACCGATGCTTATGTAGCCGCCATGTCGCATGGCCGTGCAGCGCCCGGGCGCTGCCCGCACTGCCCGGCCGCCTGCGCGGGGCGGCGCCGACCTGCGCCTGGCATCGCAAGAGCGCGTGGCACGCATTGGTCGTCTCGGACGCCTAGGGCGTTGCTTGGCAAGGGAGGTGAATGTATGATTTATGTATATGTTTACAAGTGGCGTAACATGGGCCTACAATCAAACATCTTACGGGGATGTATTATTATTTGTTGGATGTTGAAGGTATCATGGGATATTGATGCGGGTTGAACCAGCAAATGCTGGATTAAACCAAGCAGTTTAGCGCATTTGATGTATTTAATATAGTATTTCGCATCCCCATAAATCAATGTAACCCCCCAGAACAATTATATTCATAAATCATTTCGTTTTATCAATCATATAGAAACACCACGTTTATTTGTTCACGTTTATTTGTTCAATTCCCTTTGAAACCAATTTACGTAGCATAGCCTTAATAGATCAAACCCATTGCAGCCCCAGCGCTGCACAAGAATCCAAACTGTCCCAATACATGGGCCAGGCGAAAGAGAAAAGAAAGGGAGTGAAAAAGACCCATGGAGCATACGCCTTCTACAACACTTTCAAACTTTGAGAATTTAACCCTCAAAACGAGGGTCAAACTAGAATCTGGAACTGGACCCTTCAAATTTTGAAACAATTCCCGAGGTTGGCCCGAAGCCTTGGCGTTCCTAACCTCCCCGGGCGCCTTGCCGTTGGACGTTTACGCCTTGGGCGCCATCGTTCGTGCCTGCGAGCAGCAAGGGCAATGGCTGGCGGCTTTGGGAGCCATCGAGGTGGCGCGGCAATGGTCCGTTCAGGCAAGGTGGGTGGGCAGGGTCATGAACCTACCTGTAGAAATGGTTGGAACATTCGGGATTTGATGTTTATTGTGAGGGCTCAAAAAAATATTATCCCCGCAAGAGACCCCAAACAGTGCAGGGGGAGCGGGAGGATAATGTATGATACTGTGGATGGTGGTGATGATGGTGATGGTGAGGATGAGGATGAACATGTTGCGGAGGATGATGTTGAGGATGATAATGTTGCGGAAGATCAATTGGCGAAGGATGATGTTGCGGAAGATGTGGTGGAGGATGATGATGTCAAGGGGAAGGAAGATGATGATGTTGAGAGTGATGTTGAGGAGGAGGAGGAAGACGATGATGTTGAGGATGATGAAGTTGAGGATGATGAGGTGCAGGGGGAGGAATAGGATGACGTTGAGAATGATGATGTTGAGGAGGAAGATGATGACACTGAGGATGCTGATGTGAAAGAGGAGGACCGATCCCAAGACCGCGCCGCATGTTTTGTGCGAGCCTCCACAGTCGAAATGCACGTCAACATGTCACAAGAACAATTTTATACAGAAATTTACAGGAAACTTTGCGCGAGGCTGGGCAGTCGAAATGCATGTCAACATGTCACGAGAACCATTTTATACTGAAATTATCTGAAATTTTCAGCTAAAATGCCGCAAGCCAGAGTGAGCACCCTGATCAAGCACCGGCCTTTACACCTACCGTCAGAACCCCTTAGTGCGGACACACTGCTTGGGGAGTTGTTTTAAGTGTTTTAGTTATAATTAGATGTTATAGCTGCTTATAAAAGGTTAATACCCATGATAGCAAAAGATGTGGAAGCTGGGGGTGATTTATCCCGAGCATATCTTCCATTCTTGCAATTTGACATGATTTTAAGATCAAATACGCCCGCAAGTGCAGTTGTGAACAAGTGTGTGTCCTGCATGTGCAGATTTGAAGTCATAGGATATAGGATGATTGCCATGTATCTCTTTGGATATGGATTCAACTTCAAAGGACCAACAGATATGTCCTTTTTTGTAGTTTCAGCCTTTCCAGGTTTGAGATAACTATTACCCCCAATTTGTAGAAATCTATACTGCATATAGGTTGCAAGTCTGCTGTCTGAGAGTCTCAAAAACCTCCGAAAGCCACCATTTCTGTTGGATAAACCCATTTTGATTCATTTTCAGCTAATGGCTCCACCCATACCAAACCCATACCCCAACAATACCCTTGGATGCTCATAAGTGTCTCTCGACCGTGAGTTGCATGCGGCAAGTGTCAGGCAAATGTTGTGGTCTGCAACACTGCGATCAGAGCCTCGGACCTTTCAGAACGATGGTATTTTTCCACTCATCAATCAAAAATGATTGACAATACCTAGCAAGTAGGAAACATGGAAAAACTAGCAACTAGCAGATTCATGAAAGGTGCCTCATAATATATGATATATGATTCTAAGATGATACATATATATATATATACATATATATATATATAGTTAATATATATATATATATCTATATGTATATATATATGTATATATATATTTAATATATATATATATATTTAATATATATATATTTAATATATATATATATTCTATATATTTTCTTTATATATATATATGTATATACATACATGTATGTATTTGCGTAAGACTTGCATCAGATGATTCAAAAAATATGTCACATGTGTGTCCCATCGGTCCTTCACAATTCCAAGCCCAATGGCACCGGTCCCTAAGGTGCCTGTGCCAAAGGGCAGCAATGGCAATGGGCCTTGGAGCTACTGCAGGGCATGACGCTTCAAGGAGTGCAGGACAGGTCGCAGTTTGTGCTCTTGGGGGGATAAACCAACAAAATGTATCCAGATTCAGCGGTAAAAGTCGGGTGTAACGAACAAAAGTTGGATGTATCCAACAACTATGGAGTGTTCTTTCACTTGAACCATGTGACAACAGAATGAATGTCAAGTAATCACTGGCGTAGACAACTGGTTGACCAGAGGCCACTGTGCCCACGAATGACACGCGATTTTTGCACGCTGCTGAATGGATAGCTTCATCCTGTTTCCCAAATATCCAGAAAAGGAAGGGAATACATCAATATGTTGAGATGGAAAGAAGGATTGTACAGCGTTCAGCTTGACCCATGCCCATGCTGGAAGGGGGGATATGGGATACTCACAACACTCGGGCTACAATGGCGATGTTTTTCAAGAGCAGTTGCGTTTGTGACCTGTGGGAAAGGGGATGTACCCTAGAAAAATCCTCAAAGATGAGGCTTCAGAACCATTGGTCCCAGAATTCCTGCGAACCCTTGGAATGTAGATGATCTAGCATTTCATGGTTTTCTCTGAGATTTTCGGCCAAAAAACAATTGATGTTTGGAAGGTCGTGCGCGCGCGCACACAGACACCAATATGATTGAGATAAAGCCAATGATACAAGACAACAACCATTGACAGGTAACATTTGCATTCCTGCTACAGTTGGACCATTCATCCAAAAGTGCAGCTGTGTTTGGGTGCATCACATTATTAGCAAAGATAGCTGCTAGCTGGCTGTATCCTGCCTCAAACTGGTTTCATGATTAGTCCCTATATTGTCAGCTATGAACCCGTACAAGTCAAACGTGACCCTTTAGTTTGGATCATTTGTGGTCACCTGATATGAGTAATCAATTGCCGGGTCAGTTCATCTTGGGATGGGCACCAGAAACAACTTGACACATCGAGTTCCTGTGTTTCTTTCATCCAGTAACTATCCAGGTGGTGTATCAGGTGCAATTTTCTAAAATGATCCACGAACAATTCACCATTCCCTGGATGGAAAGAGTTCTTGCCCTTCAAGGCCGATGTCATCAGCTACAGCAGCCTGGTCAGCGGCTACGCACAAGCACGGCACTGGGCGGATGCACTCGAGGTGGGGTCTCGCCCTGGGGCCGTTGGGCGGACGGGTGAAGGCTGCGGGTGAAAGGTCCGGGAGGAAAGGCAGATTGGACATGTTGAGCACATAGATTTGGGGTGTGCTGCATTTTCGTGATGTTTTTGGTCCATAGGTTTGGGAACCTTTTGTTTTGGTTCCTCGAAGTTTGGGACCACTGCATGTCGAAAGATACAGGATACCGTTTGGATCCGTTTGGTAATTGCACCTGACTGGCTGGAAAGTCCCATGTGCAAGAGCCTAGTCAATTCACAAATCGTGATTTTCCAGCAAGCCATGTTTGGAGGAGATTGTCATTTCCACCCAGCAAAAGGAGAAGCCGAGAAAAGGAAATCAAAATACATCAATGGATTTGTGGCAGTATTTAGTGGATCTCTCCACAGTGTTCTCCCCACATATCATCATTATTTTCACAGCCTGAATTCAGTTTGGTGAAGCCCATCAACTGTTTGCAAATGCAGGGTTTCACCTTCAACCCATGACACGCGTGTCTTGAACCAGCCAGCCTCTTCCAAATCCCAGCCATCCCAGGTGCTAGGTCGCATGGCTGAAGAGCCATCCTTACCATCACCTAATGGCATGACCTTTAGTGCTGCCATCAGCGCGTGTTGTGAAGAGCAAACCTGGCCGTGGGCGTTAGGATTGTTGGAGGACATGCAGATTCGGGGAAGCTCGGTGGTGCGCTGGTGAGTTGTGGTCGCTTGCCATCCGCTATTGTAACAATGGGGCACCCTCTAAGCCCCAAAACTAATTTGCAGCTAAGAATCCTGTGGATTAAGTAATTTGTGGACCTATCCACATCCCGCAAGTCCTATATCCATTTGCGATGGAAACCTGGGGACCTCCCTCTGTTGGAACTTGCTCCTTGCTGATTGAATGCTGAACAGTGGGCTTTGTGATCCCTTTGGTCAGCCTACCTGTGACATGGCAATGGAACATATCCATGGCTTCCCAAACACCTATGACTCCAGCACCAGCATCAGTGTATAGATTTGTTTGGGAAGAGGGCTGGTTAAGGAGGACACGTCCAAAACGCTACGGCCCAGACCACAACGACAATGATGTGTAAGTAACTATCACCTAAACTTATGGACCTTGAGCAAAGAGAATTGTATGTGCTCTCTACAAGCTGCCTTCAACTGCGCCCAGGATTAGAAGCAGATGTTGCACCTCAGCTGATATTTACAAGTGGCATGCATTGGGATTTGTGATGTGAAATCACATGTATGGATGATGCTTGGAGATGCTTGGCATATAGTCCCATAGAGGGTTGCTTGGCCGAAAATTTTGGGTGATGTCGTGATAAATTGCTGCTTCCGTACATGGGAATTTTAACTTCTCTGGGATATGGGTTGCTATCTTGTGCTGGGCGTTGGCACATTTTCATAATGAGCCTGCAACACCTTGAGATTCGGATTTTGCTTAGATACAGCTGGTGCGAGGAAACCTCTTGATAGACGTGTCTATGATGGAGTTCTCCTTTTTGTTTTGCAGGCACAAACCAATCTCAATGGCTTGCACCATTTTCTGGCACCCCAGATGTTGACGTCCACCCAGGTAGTCCAAACAGCCATCCTAAGCGCCTTGAGCTTCGGTGGCCACTGGGAAATTTCCCTACAACTTGCAGCAACCCTCAGCCGCCAGCAGCCCTTGACCCTTACAACGACCAACGTCCTGGCCACTGCGCTGCAACGCTGTGCCCAGTGGTCCTTGGTCTTAGTCTTGCTCCAGCAGATGGAGCAGGGCCAAGGTTTGGCCCAAAACTGCACAGCTGATGGCATCACCTATGCTGCAGCCATCGCGGCCTGTGGTGCCGGTGGACGCTGGCAGGATGCCTTGGAGCTGTGGATCAAAGGTCCACAGAACGCCATCCTGCTGAATGTGGCCATCAGTGCTTGCGGGGACAACCTGCACTGGCGTGGGGCCTTGCAGCTGTTGTCCAATGAGCTTTCTGACACCGTCTCCTACAATTCGGCCATCACAGCTTGCGGCAATGCAGGGCGCTGGCAACATGCACTGGCGCTGTTTGATGAGATGCCACGAAAGGCGGACAAATCGTGAAGAAAAATACTCCTGTTGTTGACAACCAACCCCTAAAGCAAGTGATGGTTGGACGACCTTGAAGTGCAAAGAAAAGGGCACATCATGTAAAGTCTCCTGTTTTTGAACCTTGGTCATGCTTAGCAGTACATAGTAAACCATCTCGATTTGGGAGACCCAACGTTGACCCATATCCAATGGATAGGCAGTGGCTTGCCAGCCACCTAGAATTGAGTTTACAGTATATGAATGCAACAGGATAGAATGGAATCACATAACCATCCACACGGCTTGTGCATTACAGTGAATAGGAATCAGCTATCCGAATCTATCCTTGGCTTATCATAATATATTCATTCGAGTCCTTGGCCCTGAAAGTATATATCCAACCCATCAATCCAGTCCATCCCTGGCAGGTTTCAGTCGACCTGGTGACCTACAACGCCCTCATCTCAGCCATGTCCCCGGCGCGGCAGTGGCTGCGCGCGCTAGCGCTGCTGGCGCTCGCAGCATCCGCGACGGCGCCGGCGCTGCGGCCCAACGCGGTGACGTACAACGCAGCGGTGGCGGCGATGGAGCCGTGGAGGTGGAGCCGCGGAGGATGGGATTGAGCCAACCTTGGCCAAATCTTGGCCAAGAAATGGGGTCTTAACCACCAATCATGGGGATGATTTAGCTCATAAAAAGCGGCAAGTCAAGGGGGGTCAGACATAGCAATTTGGGGGTTGAATTTGGATTTAAGCAACAAACAATGGGGATCTGATGGGATTTCAGATGATTGATGGGAATTATATATCCGTGGTCCGTGGAATTCATGAGGGATTTCGCCAAGAACTGTTGTGATTTAACCCACAAGAGTAAGTGATGCAGAGGTTGGTTTTTTGATGACTTGAGCGTGCTAGCGGTTCTGCAAATCTTAGAGTGCTAGATGTTGTTCTTGAGCTTTTCCTTCCTTAGTTGACCACCCATTTCAAGCCGGCAGTGTGTGTGTCCCAAGTCTGGTCCCTTCAGGCATGGCCTTGCAGTTGTGGGTGGCGCCCTGGTTGCCTCCGTACAAGTGGATGAGATTGGAATGGCCGCGGCCATTAGCGTTTGTGAACGAGGCCATGTGTGGCAGCAGCCCCTCGGCTGAGCTGTGCTGGGGCACATGGGCGTTGTGGAAGTTGTTGGGCAACAACAGTGATTGATTCAAGACATTGGAGACATCTAAAGACATACCTGTATGATACCAAATATATCAATCCATCTTCGCTGGTACCAATCCTATCTATAAGCAACACTTTTGGATTCCATCCCGCCACTAACAAAGACGCTGCCATGAGTTGCAGGGTAAGAGACAATGTTTTCCTCTCAACTTTGGCTATTCTCAATGTCTACGTTGGTTGAGGTGTACCCCATTCAGTTTCCACGAAAAACCCATTAGCTGGAATGTTGTTTTTTTTTAACCACCCGGCAGCATTTTTTGTTGCCACGCCGGGCAGATCCTTGACGCTGCTAGATGTGATGAATCGTTGGAGCACCATGCGCCTTGGACAGCACTCTATGACAATCTTATAGCTGGATGGCCAGGAAATCTCTACTGTTTAATTTTCCGGGGAAAATAGCCGTCTGGTTTTTTAACATAGCCATGGTATAGATGGCCCATTTATAGATGATTTTCCCAGCTATAAACTTCCATTTATAAGGGATTTTCCATGGCTATGTTAAATAACCAGATGGTAATGGCAAAGCCAATATCCAAGAGGTATCTCCTCCAATCAAACATGGCAATCGAAAATCCACCATTTAGTTCAATGATTCTCCCCTGAAAGGATCCGCTTTTTTGGTTGAGGATTTCCAATTGCCATGTTTGATGACAACAGTGGGTATAAATTATTGCAGTCAATGTAGATCATCTATGAATTCAGCAGGGAGCAGATTGGGCTGTCATTATGCTTAGCTTTTGGTGACACCACCTTTGAGTGGCGATTATTGACACCCCCAAAACAGGCTCACATCCACAAGCACGAGCCCGAAAGTTACTGGGAACCCTGTAGTCAGTACACTCCCAAAAAAGTATCAGCAATTTTGCCAGAAATAAGTTTGATGAACCATTCCCCAAGGTTTTGTTCTTGGCTCTACCTGCCAAGCACGAACACATTAGGAGCCTCATCGCCAACAACGCCCTCCTTGCTGCATATGAGAAGGTGCCGGGGCCAGGGCCATTGATGTGAATAAATGTACAGAAGGAAGCAAGAAACATAGGGACCCAGCAAATGAAAACATGGACGTTCAAGTAATAAAGGGATTTATGTGGATTTGATCAATAGAAATGGGGGCTTCACCAACAAACATGTGGACTTAAGCAACAAAACTAGGGAAACGATGTGGAGCTGGGTCTAAAGCCTGTGATAAATGTAATGTAATGTAATGTAACGTAATGTAATGTAATGTACTGTAATGAGCATCCATAACCCTGCCACTTATTTTGATGTGAGCAGGGCACCGGAGTTTTGTTCCACCGCCATGTCAAAACTGATGTCCGTTTACATTGTCTGTGGATGTTTCAACAAATATTCAACACTGTTATACTGTTGTGTGTTGTTTTGCATCCTCGCCAACTGCGGATATCAGATTCTCAAGGGGTTGGGACACACTTTGAACCCTTTGTGTGGACAGTCAGCGTGAAGTCTCACGTTGATCTCTTCCCGCACCAAGACCTCAGGGTTGTCGCTGGGGCTTGTGATACTTTGTAACCACAGAAGCACTGCAGATCTCTCACAAGTCGAAAAAAAACAAAAAACACAACCATGTGCATCCAAGTAAAGGCTATTGTTGTTGCTATTCTGAATCATGATCATAAAAGTTTCGTCTATAGTTTACCTTTTCAAGTATGAGATGGGTGTTTTTGTTTGTGATCTTTTCATGGTTTCCCTGGGGAAACTTCCCGCCGTGCGCCAGGTGGACGACTGGAGACGTTCCCTCGGGGCTTTGCTGCGGATGTCCAGCCAAAGACTGCAGGTGGATGAGGCCAGCTGGGCTGGTTGCACCGCGGGCACCCCTGCAACTAACCTTCAAAGCGGGTCTTTTACATCATCCCAGCTATGGGTCCACCAAACTGAATTGGGAATGAGCTAGTTGTTATACCATCTTATCCTTGGGTTTACCTCGTGAAATCTCAATTTCTAGATTACTGTAGAGACGTGAAATAGGTTTGTTTTTGGGAGCTGCAGCAGGATGCAAGCATCCCAGATTCATGATGCATGGTGGGAGCAACAGTGACAATTGATTAGTCTCTTGTCACTTGTCTATCAAACCCAAAAACAAAAGCTCCAGTGAGGAATAGTGTGTACTGTACCACTCATTTCTGGCAAAATTAGAGATTGTGGATTCATGTTGTGCCGCATACTCCACTCTAAAGACACCATTTCATTATCGGCTTTATACCACCCATTCTCGTTGGTGAGGTCAGAATACTTGCGGGTTGAATCCAAATGAGGTTTGGTCATAATTCCGGTAGACCGCTTTAGTCGGGAGTGCTACAATGGTGAATAGTGTCCACTTCTGAAGCCCACTTTCTTTTCTCCTTCTTTCCCCTTCCTTCCTCTTCCTTTCTTCTTTATTTCCTCTTCCTGTCTTCTTTTTTTCCTCTTCCTCTCTGATTCCTTGCCTCTTCCTTCCCTGTTTCTTTCCCCGTCCTTTCCTCTTCCTTGAATTACTTAGCTTTACAATCCTTTACAGTATTCCTCTATCTTCATAAGTACAAACCCCGTGGTACCCTATTTTTTTGGAGCAATGCGAATACATAGAGTTTTGAAGGCGGCTCAAATGTTAATTATTTGTCTTAGTTACATATCAATGTTCGTTGCTTGAACCCACATAAATCCCCATGTGTGTTGCTTAAATCCCAGCCAATCACCATTTTGATTGGTTGAATCTCTCTTTTTCAGGGTTCGATCCTCGTTTTCATGGGTTAAATGCTTAGTTTTATTGACCTTAAAATGGCTTCATCAACCCTCAATGCATCCGAACTGCACCCAGGTGACCCTGAACAGCTGCGCCAGTGCCTCCGAGAAAGCCAATTTCTGGCGGAACGCGCTGCAGCTGCTGGGGGAGCAGCCGGTGGATTTGTCGCTTGATTTGTTGCTAGGTTGGGTGATGATTTTATGAAGATTATATAATATATATATATATGATTATATAAATATATTATGGTCCCGGCCACAATTATAGAACGGAAGTTGAGGAGTACGAAACTACGGTTGTTTACCGTACAATACCGTACCGTTGTTCCATAATTCCTGTTTCCTTAGAACGTCTCAGAACGTTGGAAAAAACTTACTTTCAACTTACTCCTATATCTTTTCATTTGTGTCGTTCATTTTCCTTCTATAGCTCTTGTTGTGTTCCATAATTGTGTTTTGCCTCATATTTCTCACATTTACCAATTCTGTTCTATAATTGCGTGTTCTATGATTAAATTTGCAATAATTCCGTTCAATAATTCCGGTTTCCCCCAGGGTCCCAGAAAGATACATGAAATTATGTAAATACATGTAAGTAACCCCCAAGACTCACACAATCTGCGTGTTGAGCAGCCAGAAATATGTACATATTCAATAAACACATTGTGGAGTTCTCCAGGACGGGTATGTACATAATATCCAAATGGTCACGGCCACAAATATAGAACCGAAGTTGAGGAGCACAAATTATAATAGAGCAGCCAAAAAAAAATAGAACAGGATCCGAATCCACGTGGAATCGGGATCCGGAGGAGTACGAAAATATGTTATTTCACCGCATTTTATGTATTCCTAATTTCGTTCTATAGGCCGTTCCTGTATGTATTTATAGATTGCATATATATAAATATATATATAGATGTTATTGGATTCTATGTTGATTTAATGGGAAATACATTCTATGGTGATTATATTTAGATCAATCCGGGGATTCAATGGGGATTATATGGGATTAAATATGGGGATTCAATATGGAGACTTCATCGTAGCAATTGATTTTGGTTGATACACATTCAGATATATCGGGATTCCACCAGCAACCCAAAATTATGTATTCAAAATGAGATTAACAAACCAAAATGGGGATTCACCCTTCATAATCTTATGGGGAAAGAATGGGCGTATCATAGGGGTTTAGAGCCAATGATAAAATATCAGTTTGTTGGTTGATGTGTTGTTTTGCTTATATTTTTGCGCGTTTTTCTACCTTCTCCGTGAATGACCATGAACACCAACCATTGTTTTCGAACAGGTCTGTTGACACTGCTCAATTAGGGAACCATTTTCCTCTTGATATTATATGTATAGGATGTTCATTTCACCTTGAAATATCATTAAAATGACCATCCAAGTTGGGGACCCTGGAAGTTGTTTTTTTGGTTGTTTTTTTCTGGAAAGGAAACCAAAGGATTCAGGGTACGAATAGTTCTAGGATGTGCTAGTGACGTTTCATGTGTTTGCAGACTGTGCAGTTTAGATAGGCCATCTCTTGATTCATGTCTCTCAACGGCCGCCATTGATCCGTTCAACCTCAACCAACAGCACAAGACCAGCGCTTTCTCGGTCAGGATTGGATACAACCTTCTTCTGCGCAGCTGCATGCACGCATCAGACTGGCAGAGAGCGAAACTTGGGTGGCGGATGCCACAGATTTGCGTCACGTTGCCATGAAAAAATGAAATCAAAATCATTCCCATTCATGGTCTTAAGGCGTGTAAACAAGTCTGAAATGACCAAACCTCAGTGGTTCTGAGCGCAATGTGATCCTGCGAATGCTCAGCTTTAAATTTTGCTGGTCAGCACCTTCGTAGTCCATCTATCAAAAGTCCAACAGAAGTCACCCACAAGGAAGATGGCCAAAGGTCAGGCATATGGTCGCAAGTCAAAGTTGGTGCCCAAAAGCAGCCTTTTATCTTTGAAGGAGCTGGAATCCGCTGATAACAAAGCCGTGAACCTGGCAGTTGCCATCCGTCGCCCCAGACCCCCAAGGGGCGCACTGAGGATCATTCTCTTGGAAGAGATGCAGCACTATGGTCCAGAACCCGAAGTCATTAGCCTGGCGACTGTGGTGGATGCATGCGTCGCTCTCCTGCAATGGAGAAGATCTAGTTGTTGTATGTTTCTGTAG